GCTGTGTAATATATAATTAAATGTGGTTGAATAATGTGGAAAGAAACGTCATTTGTTTTATGTAACAAGAGAATTCAAGTGAGACTTAAAGGTAAGCTCTATAATATGAACATTGTATTGAAACCGACTATGTAATATGGTTTGGAGTATTAGGCGGTAGATAGAAAATTATAACAGAGAATGAGTATATCAAAGATGAGAATGCTTAAGTGGAGAATCGGAGTGATGAGATAATATAGGATAACAATAACCAAGCATAAGAGCATAGCGGCTTCGTTAGTAGAAAAATGAGAGAAAATATACTGAGTTGGTTTGCAGGGCATATCACGAGGAGAAAGGAATCTGAAGCAGTAAAAATGGTAATCAAAATAAACTTAAAAGAAAAGAGATAAAGAGGAAGATCAAAAACGGGGTGATTGGATGCAATTGAAAATGATATGAAGACGCTCAAGGACAATAAGTGTGTGCGAGGTGGAATATCTGGTCAAGTAAAAATTTAGGACGAGAGTGGATGACCCCAAATACCTGGGATGAATTCGAAAGATAAAAAAAATAAATATAGGTAATATATATATAATATTATATACGGTGTTCCATTTAAGTGGGTAAACTCATTATCTCTGAAAATATTAACTTTTTCGAAATTGTTTTTATAGGAACATCATTTGTGTGGCGATAAAGCGCGCGGTGTTTTAATAATGCACCACTACTCTCTCGCGTCCCAAACTTAAAAGAGGATTATCTCGACTGAGATTGACGGAAATCAAAAATGTCAACACTAAAATTTATTTTAACTGATACTCCATTTACTTATAAAATTTTTAATACAGGTTACTATTTGAAAATCCAAAGTAGACAGTGGTTTTACCCCCCCCCCCAAAAAAAAAAACACAAATGTAAAGTTGTAGAGCTATTTGTTTCTTAAATGTTCTATATAACAAATTCCAAAAAAAATTAATACTTTCCTAGATAATGAGTGTACCCATTTAAATGGAACATCCTGTATACGTGTATATTATAAATAAACATTTAAGGAGAAAAGTTAAATCCCCACGGTTTTACCGCCACTAAGTTATAAAATAATAATAATATTATTACTACTGAAACAGCGAAAAATACGTCCGCACACGTCGCCATTATCGTCCCTAATTTCTATCTGGCTTTTGAATCTACCAAAATGTATTTAATATTCATTCACTTGATCGGTGGTTTCTTAACATGTAGTGTTTACGGAGAAGTGTTGTCAGTCCAACAATCGACTGCCCATACACTCGGACGCTAACCCCGTAGATACTCAATTCACGTGTTATGTCTATTATAATAATAGGCGTACAACAAATAATCAACACGCATGACGTTATTATTAAATTTATGTTTAAATCTTTAATCTATATGCCGAATACAAGCATATAGTATAATACTGTAATACGTATAATACATGTTATCAATCAATTATTATGATAAGCCGCACGAATAATATTGATGTCTCGCGTAAAGCGTGATAATGTTATTTTTCCACAGAGTATATTATATTATAATATCACGATATGTATCGATTCGTATTCACAATAATAGTATTACCGGCTATAGATTTTATGCGGTAGTCTTTCACTTGTTCAAGTGTAATAATAATTATTATTAATGTCTGCGCAAAAAAAAATATGAAATTAATAATAACTATAATTTTTATTATTAATTTTTTTTTTTAAAAAACAGAAATTTATGATTATGCATTTGGTGTTTCTGATACGATTGAAAATTCGAAAATCGATACCGAATTCTGTTGTAACAGGGCGGGTCTATCAGCTTCAATTAATTTTTAATCCTTACTATGCGCCGAAAACAAATATATTTTTTAAAAAAAAAATAAGGTTTGACGCACGTTATTCTACTGCTGCGCGTATAAATACAAATACCATTTAAAAACCAAAATCAAAGTCCGTTTTCTTTCCTCGCGAAACCTCGTTTGTATTCTCGATCACTATAATTTTTCTTAAACCTTAGCGCGTTTGTTCTGTTTAAATTAGGTGTATGTTTTATTTATAATATGCAATTACGTTCTTTTCACAGAGTTGATCGATCATCACGCGACACGGTGGCGTCGATTTCCATCAAACGGAAACCGATCGGACGTACCATAAAAGCTCGTTTATTAAATGACTAGGGCAGAAACTTAGCCCCTCTCCCTCCCCAAAAAAATAACTTATACTCCTAAAAGACGTGCCACTGTTGTATATGGAAGTTGGAAAGGTAGGACACATAAACGTATTTAATTTATATCTGTATGCGATGATAAACCATTGCCGACGAAATTCATTTCTGAGCGAAGTTCGGTTGCACTCAAAATTATACATAATGCATATTTTTTGAAATTCCGTGATTTTTATGATTTTCGTGAAAATGTGTACTTAAAACGCTTATAAGAAAAACTACTACCTATTATATTATTACGCTCGACTTTTCTTTTCTTTACCACTAAGGACAACTGAATATGAACCTCTCGTTAAATTTTTAAACAATTCTGCTAAACCAAAACAATTTTATCCGCGTAAAATCAAATAAAAACTAAAAATAATCTCATAAAGTAAATAGCTTAAAACGTGTCAAAATGTTTTGAACATCGATAGTATTTGTTATTAACTTCGCTAGAGACTCAGAATCTAATAAATGAATATTGTATAATATTATAATAACTACGGGATTTGAATAATCGATTATATGACTGAAGCGATCCCGTACATCGGAACAACTTTCCGGACTGCGATAGCCAAATAATTAATATAAAAATAACAAGCGTGCAGTAACCATTGGTAACCGGAAATAAATAAAAACAAAATTGCAATTTCCGCATTATAAAGACAGTTGACTTATGGAAAAAAGTATATGCAGCTATATTCACTGGAAAATTACTAATCTAATAGTGAATTTAACTAATAATTAAGGGAACGTAAAACAAAGTACAGAAATAATTATTTTTAAATTGTAAAGTTTCGCATACTCGAGTACCAAGCCTATAGGCTACACTTGACTTTCTCTAATTGATTTAAATATTATATTTGTTGATTTTCCAAGGAGTTTTCAAAATAGTTTTAAAAAACCGGAAAGAAAATTATAGGTAAAACGACAAATATTTACGGCACGCCGTGGCATTACTGATTACATTGTTTTTAATTTTTGCAAACTATCTTTTCTACCATATTACTTAATATTCGAAAAAACTCTAGACTCAATACAAACGAAGATTTATCGTTCATGTTAATTATGTCCGACCCGTATATTTCATCCATACGAAATATGTCCAAAAAGTATGAACATGAGTTATCGGAAAACGTTAAAGCTTTAATAATAATTCCTCAGTCAAATTGAGATGAAGAATGTGACATAAATCAATCTTTTTCGGAAATCACTTTTTCTTATTAGATAATCAAATAATATACATAACACATTTATTATTTTTTTCATTATAATAATTGTAAAATGCCTAGTATTAATTACATAGGTAAGAAGAAATTAGTTTGTTTTTTTTTTTTGTGTGAGGAATTTCTGAAGTATAAAACAGAATAAATGTTTGAAAAGTTCAAAAAAAACATAAAGTTCTGATTAAAGCGATCTGACGTAATTTTTTCTTTTTAATTAATGTTGACAACTTGAGCTATATAATATGTATGCATTAAAAATTACGTAAAACTGTGTAATTTTTACTTATACCCTTTAAAAGCGGAAAAATTATGGAAAGCTTGAGGTTATTTTGTTAATGTTACGATATTACTTTAAATGAGTGAGGGAAAGGAAGAATATGAATTCTGAAGAAAAAAAATTTAACTAAACTATTTTAGCTGAAAAAAATTAATTTATATTTTTAGCGTAAGAATTGAAATTATATATCTATTCAATAAAAATGTAAACATTTTTAATCAAATCCCTTTAACACACTAACTTAGATCAACTAATTGATATCAAGTTTTAAATTTATTCACAAAACATGCCCTTAAAAAATAATAATCAATCAAATGTAGAATTTTTTTACTTTTTAAAAATGGGATTTTTTTTGTTATTTAGAAAATAATTACCGTAGAGACTTTCCAAAAATACTCATATTGGCATTTTGTAGATTTGGTTAAATTGTCAAAACATTCTAGTTATTAGTTTTTTGTTTCTAGTTTTTATGCTTGGCTATTTATAGGTATTTGGATATTTTCATTTTTTAACGTGTATTTTTATTTGGTAAGTATCTGTTATTAAAATTATATGATTTAAGAAATGAAACTTAAAACTTAAAAAATGCTTGAAAAATGAACACAAGGTACATTATAAGTTGTACGTAGTGGTCAAAAAATAAATTTGAGTTCAATGCATGAGTTTTTTTTTCATAAGCGTTTTATGATTAAGTTTGATCAAAAATCATAAAAAATACGGCATTTCAAAATATATATTGCTAAACTTAGCTCTGAATCGTTTTTCATTAACAATAGTTTATAGTTACGTCACTAGTTACTTATAGATATAAATTAAATAATTTTATGTATTCTACCTTCCAAACTTCTCATCTACAACAGTGGCTACACCCGTCTCCAGTATGGCAGTATTAGCAACTTTTTTACCAATCAAAAATTGTATAGTTACTTTCTTGTAGCTCTTGATGTCATTTTTTGATTTTTCTTGTAGTATTATAGATAATCTTACTGGCAATTGTTTATATACATTTTGGTAATACCTTTGCAACAAGAGAAAATAATACAACTAATACACTCTAATATTCTCCTCAGAATCGATTTCCGTTAGCAATGGTTTATAGCTACGAACAGATATAAATTAAATACCTACTCTACATATCCTCCACCCTAAAACAGCGGCACACCCACCAGCAGTAAGTATCAGCATTTTTTTCATTTAGGTATAATATATTGCACGTATCCATGACGACAACTACTGTTACAAACTTTATAAATTAAAATAGGAAGGTACATGTATAATAAATTATAATTTATACAATAACAACTAAACAACAAAATGAACAATACGCAGCTACAATCGTACGTATGTATATATAGGAATATTGATAACAACCTCACGACCTCGAGACCACACACGGCCCGACAAAAATATTTATAGTATCATATTATAGGATGTCAGACAGAACCGGAGTTTTCGCAAGCAAAAATCCGAAACACTGTCGTCGTATTTCCGAAACGACTGGAGCCGAATTCAATATGACGACGACAAATCGTTCAGATTATTTGTGGCCGGTACCGTCAGGAAACCATCGGATTATCGACTGGAACCGATTCGAGTACAAAAAGCGACAACCACGGATCGCCACCAAAGACCTTCCGCCGACGTTTCGCAACTATGATACTATGAGCTTAGTACCGGACTCGGAAAAATTTCCTTTCGATTTTTTTTTCTTGCCAAAAGGCGACAACAGTCGTTACCCATCACAGGTAACCAACAAATACTTGAAACTTGTTTTTTATTTCAATACTTACGTATAATATTTGACTGTCAAAATTAAATATTCGATTTAAAAAATAATCATCGGGAAATAGTTTTTGAACCGAGGCGGAAAAATAAAACGCACAGATAAGAATAATATAGAATAATACATCATACATAGATAGGTAACACCCGTATTAAAATTCGTAACCACGAGAAGCACTCCTGATATAGTTGTAAAACAATAATCTATTACACATTCTATATACACGTTCTTCCACCTCGGATGATTTTGTACTATTTTGCTTTATACTCCATGAATGGAATAAATCATATGCATAAGGATCACATTTATCGACAGTTTTAACAGCTCATTTTTACGTCTGTTTTCACTTTTATCAATATCTGAGTTCTCTTGGCAACAAGAGGAAAATACGATTAATATACTACTCATAATACGCTCAGAATCGTTTTTTCGTTTGCACTTATTTATAGTTGTATACATTATATAAACAAATTATTCTGTATATCAAACTTTTCCACCTACCCATTTACAACAATGACCTACCCGTGAGTATTGTTAACTTTTTTTTTTTATTTAGATAATATAAAATATCAATAATGTGAAAAGAAGCATTCAAATTTTATTATATCATACATAGAACTATACAACGTATAAAATACATAATTCATAATATAATGCGTAAACATACAAACATAATTCCAATCTGTGTTCTTTCCGAAAAGGGTCTGCACGGAGTACCTTTTTATAAATAATTGGGGTTGGACAAATGCATCGTTATTATGTACATCTACGAAAATATACGCTCCAGAGAAAAAACGAATATCGTCCTAGCAAACACTACCCCTTAAGCCGTTTTCAATGTCTTCTATATTCTTCGATATACCGGGGCTGTACTGTGATTAAATTCTTATCAAATTAAAATTTAGGTACAGTAAATAAATAAGGGAATCAATTCAAGTTGAATTATACTGACTTTGGAAAAATCACGACTAAATTATATGTGATATTTTCAATTAATTAATAAATACGCGAATAAAACTGTGACGATATTTTATTTCATTAGATTTACAACCAAATATAAAATAAAATACATTAAATACACGGAATTATTATTCTTAAAATATAGTAAATATACGTATATTTGTCTAATCATTTTTTTCTCCGATTCGCGAGTGTATATTATTTATTTTTGATAATATCAATAATATTACGTAGTACGAAAAAATATTTTTAAAAAAAAAAAAGTTTCTTTGTGCACGTTTCACGCCTCACTGTTATCTATGTACAGTGTGCAAGACGAAATACAGACACCTGAAATAACCTAAATTAATGTATTTTTTTTTAGATAGGGAACTTAAAATAATACATTTTAAGTTTTACAATGCTTCTTTTTAAACAAATTCAAAATGCAGTATTGTAAAGTAGATTTATACGCAATTTTTGGTAAATTTTTTGGAAAGATTTATTTTGGTATGGTCATTATTTTTTATAATTTTTGAATTTGTACTGAAATTGTGAATATTGTTTTTGCCTATAATCTGTTACACTAATTAATTATTAGTCTGAGCATACAAATTGGCAAGGATTTTTTTCCATGGGTATTATCATATTCGTGTAATTTTAATAAATTAATGTTATGATTGAAAAGAAAATTATTCACATTAATTATAATAATAATAAACGTCTTTGTCTCCACTCAAAATCTAAAATAAGATAAATATATATAGATACATAGATTTTCAACAAAAGTAGGCAATAAGCAATAATATACGTAAAACATGTTTTTGAATAACTAACTAATTTAATTTTGGAATTTTTATTTTTTTTAAATGTATTATATTAATTTACAATGGGGTTTTTTGCCAAGCCTTCTTTTCAATATTTATAAAAACATTTTCTTAAGGTACCAATAACTGTATTTTTTCCTGGGGTTTTTTTTTTCTTCGTCGGGGCTTTTTTCCTTAGATGATTTTTGGTCAAGGGCTTTTTTTCCTGGGGCTTTATTAACCTCAATTTCTAATGATAGTTATCAAAGTGGGTAGAAATCAATTATTTAAGCAAGTGAACGATCGTAAGATTGTATACTGCCAATCTATTAATAGTCTGTAACATTGCCGTTTATAAACATATTATACTTTTATAACTAATAATTTATAAGTATAATTAAAGTTAGAATTTTGCCCCCCTCCTGGAAGACGAGCTGAATACGCCCCTGTCTAAAAGATTATTTAACAATATTTTTTTATTTTTCAATGTAACAAATGTCAATGAAGTTTCACATGATACGAAGGTATAATTTATTATGATATAAATATATTTGTATTATTATTATTAATAATAAACAATAATTAAATAAAAATAAGATATTTAAAAAACTAAAGAACGAAAATAATAATCTATACATCTATAATACATAGCTCTTTCATTTTACAGCTCGACATAATCCAATTTAACCTAGGTACGTACTCGTATAAATCAGTTTTTGTGACACGTCGTATAGAAATAATGTATTGCTTCTGTCGTTATGTACGGGACCTGAACCGTCATTGTTCGGCAATCTGCGATAATGAGCACAAGATATTGTATGCTTAATAGTTAATTCGTGAGTTATGAATGCTCGTGATTTACATACCTACCTAATTAATGTGACTGATACACAAAGCCAACCAGCCAAGTGATGTATAATTTAAACACATATTATGCCGATATGTACGAAATATTAAATTAACGCCCATTTAGTCCAGCCGAGTGTCAACTTGTATTAAAATGGTAATTTTTTGCCTGTATAAATAGATAAAACAAAACAAGACGTGTCATAAAAATAAGAGAAATAAGAGTGAACCTTTTGGCGTTTTGTATTTTTCATTTCTAATAGCTCAACTATTTTCGGGTATTGGAACTAGTTTGTGTGTATGTGTTTTTTACAGTTTGATGTTTTTGAATATGCCCACGATGTTTTAATGCATACATAACAGATTTATTAAAATTCAGTTTTTACTGGAAATTAATATATTATAGTATATAAATACATAAATATCATATTTGTTCAATGTTCCTCAAATGCATCGTATATAAACGATTATATAATAATTAATATTTAGACAAATAGGGTAGTCCATTTAAGTGGTTTCGCTTGATATTTCAAAAAAAATCGACTTTTTTCTTCTGGATCGATGGATAATTTATCATTTGTTAACAACGTTCCCACGTTTTTAATTATAACATGCATACAAAAAAATACCGATACCGGTGATAGGTGTATCACTAGAAATACAGTAAAGAGCAATTTAAATTATATATTTACGCAACAATAAACCTTTGTAAACGAAAAATGATTTTAAGTATAGTATTATTAGCCAGTGACGTAGTCACGAGGGGAGCTAGTGGGCCATGCCCCATTGGCCGTATCACGGATTAAGATATACAGAACTGGAAACAACCCAGCGGACTCAATGCACAACGCTAACTGGTTATAACTAATACTGGTATATAACTTTGTTCTTAACGCCATCGCCATCTCGGTACATTTGTAAAATTATGCTCATTTAACATTTATCACACCAGGAGAACTGAGTATATCCCTAATTTGTATACTATAGATACTTAAATAACCATATTATATATTTTATTCTAATCCTTTTTTTTTTTTTTTTGTATAAAATATACTTGAATAGTTGAAAAAACAATTGATTTAAATATCATAATCTAACAATATTGAAGTAAGTAAGCATTTAGACTAAATTATTAGAAGCTATAGCTTCCTATTGTGTGTTAGTGTTATATTAATAACATAAAAATGATAACAATATAGAATAGATAGTGTATTTTGAACTTATACCTACTTCAAAAATTCAAAATAGGTAATCAGTTTCATACAAACATTATTACTGACACTATTATCCATATAAATACTTACTGTAATGTAATTTACAAAATAATATGAATTAAAATTTAAATTAAATCAAATAAAATAAAATAGTACCAACAAGATGGTGTAAGATGATTTCAAGTTGTAAAAATATAATTTTCTTTTAGAGCTTTGAACAAAGTACTTTTTTAAATTAATTAATTTACACTACATCGTCTAGGCATTTTTAAAACAGATTTAAAAGGATTAGTTCATAAAGTATACACAACACAAGAGTACAAGATAATATTTACACATGCATCTTACAGTAGAGATGGACAAAAATAGATGACTAATAGATGCAGCGAAGCGTAAGACATTCGGCTCAAACCCCGCACTCTGCCAACCCATTCGTTTCCAGTCCTGTATATCTTAGTCCGTGGTGTTTATATATTTTATAGTTTATGATGATCTTTGAACCTGGTTTATATTTCAGATATCAGCGACTGCACATATTCTGTGGTAACCTAACCAATTTTGATTAAAACACAAATTTATTATTCATTGACTTTACACACATAATATTATTATAATACCTATGTAGGAAATGAATTATTTATTATTTGAAATGTAATGCATTCGTAATCGTAAACTCGGTGAAAAAATCGAATGTATTTGATTTCAATGCGTCGAATTCCAATTTCCAAACATTTGTAGGGCTCGTGATAATCAATATTTGGATATTTTTAGATTCCGAGAGTAGCGATGGAACTATTGGTTTTACTAAGATGTTTATTATTTTTTATTTCTTCTAGCCTGTGGACACGTTTTTTTCTAGTAAACGTCCTCCGATTTTTAAGTATAGCATTTTTTCTGAAAGCTGAAGTTATCTAGATGATATTTTTCAGAGGTCATTTTTTAATTTTCGATGCCATTTTTTAAATAAAAGCACTAAAATGAGAAAAAACATAGGAAAACATATAATTTCACAATTTCATTATTTTATAAAAACACGGACGTTTTCTACCAGAAAAAATGATTTAATTGAAAAATCACAAGATACCTTTTTTGTTGCCTTATGGATTTAATTTCTAATGATATCATTGCTAAAACTTTTAAGCCACTTTTGAGCTAAGAATTTTAATTTTTGGTATTTTTTTTGCTATAATTCGGTTATAAATACACCCAGAATCTTGAAACTTGGTAATAATACTTGGTAATATTATATTGGACGTACCTAAACGTAGTAAAATTTCCAAAATCATCGGACGTCTTTTTTTTTTTTAATAACCGTTTTAAAATCAAATTTAAACGAAAATCGCAAAACAAAATTACGGTAATTCAAATTATGTATTATCGAACTACGCTCGGAATCGTCTTTCGTCAAACAATAGTTTATGCTTACAAAAATAAATGAAATAACCTTATGTATTCTACCTTTCCAACTTCTCTAACAGTGCTCCTATCCCCAGTATCAGCTCTTTTTTTTTTTTAGGTTTTTGTACGCAGGTATAAGCAATGTACAATATATATTATACAAACCTTATTATGATATTCTCGTTTTGTCTATTAGTCATCTTTCCTATCGTGTATAGATTCGTTGCTGTGATATTACCAGTATCAATAATGATAATTTAATTGATATTAATATGATTTTATTATATCGTAATCTACCGATAAAAAGATTAATATTTACAAATACGTAAATCCTCCTCACTTGTTCAATGCAATACATATTAATAGCAAATATACACGATGAGATTTAGTGATCCTCCACTACCTCATTCCTTCCACTCTCTGCCTTTTTTATTTTTATATTATGTACCTACGTAATTCTGTACGTAAATTTAAAACTACTTCCTCACAAGTAAATTTGTTACCAATGATAATCTTCCTCCCATTGATATACTAATATGCATTTCATACAGGCATTGAATATAATATTATGTATGTCATTTAAGATTCATTCACACATAAGATATCATTTAACACCGTTTAGAGAGTAAATTGTAAACCAAAAATATACAGCTAAAAAAAGTTTGGTGCCTGTGAAATAAAGAAAAATATAAAGAATTTGTGTTTCAAAAATAATAAATTACTTTGCATAGATAAATTATTATACATCGTCATAAAACTAAGACTTTTTTTTGAAAATAACTGATTACCTACAATTTATTTCTTAACAAATTTTTTAGGAAAATTTCTATTCTCACCGAAATTCCCAATTTCTCGTAAAACCCTTATTCCCCCTAGAGTTGTTGATACATGTTCCATATTGTACATTTTATTCCTTTGTCTAGACCATAATTATCGAATAATTAGTATTACTCCTAGAAATAAATTTAAAAAATAATATTACATACATTTGGTGTTATATTATTAATACATTGTAACCTTGCGGTTATTGTGTTTCAGGATGAGTTGCCACAACCGCAGTTAAACAAAATTATAAAACCTGCTAAAAATTGGCAGCGTATCGCCGTCAAATGGGATGACTTACAGAGACGTATTTTTGGCGGTCGGACTATAGACTGACCAATAAAATTCATATATGTACCTAGGTGAATTATCGTGTACGGTCCGATATTACGCAGTGAATTAATTAAATAATTTACACTTTTAACTGGTTATATTATAATATGTTTTTATCGACATGTGAAACAAACATTGTTTTTTTATAAATACCTACTACACCAATCAGAATAATCGACTTCATCCCGAGTAATAATTTATTATCATGACTGTTTTGTATAATATTATTACTACAATGTGTCAGACGTAATTTATAAAACGTACAAAACATGATTTTATTGACACGTTATTATAAATAAATAATACGTGCTGGAATGAAAATAAAAATAATCGCAGTGATAATATACATTTCATGGTAGGCATAGGTAATAATTTGTTTTTCAATCAAAGACATATTATTGTTATCGTCATTTTACTATACCAAGTTAACAAAAACAAATAATAATCGGTTGTTCTTTATATTGTAATATAATATAATATTCACACCGTTTCAATCAAAATAATTGTTTAGTGAATAAATTACTTTTTTTTATAAAATTAAAATATATTAAGTAATCCACAATCGATCAGCGAATATAACAAATCTGCACTTCTATTCCGAATTTTAAAAAATACTATATTCTAGGAATCTAGACTAGAACTTCTAGTATTATTTAATGTATATATTAGACGATCTCGAGAAAGGGTATCAATAAAGTTGGTTCTTGTTTTACAGTATTCGAGCACTCAACTGTTTTATTTAAAACAATTGTTAATATAATAACTACCTAAGTATTCAATTTGCACATAGGTACGTACATTATTATTTTGTTATAGTCACATGTTTAATCCTGAAGTTTATACGTAGGCAACTACAATATTACTAATATTATTCAAATACTGATAGATATTCAAGTTATTCAGCTTTTTATAGGCAACCACAACGTTTTCGGTCTATTATCATTAAGTATTTGAATATCGCCTATTCATATTGCCATTCACAGTACCTACCTTAGTTGTTGGTAAATATTTGAGTAAAACTTAAAAAATGCAAGCGCCGAATTGTATTTTAATAATTGTATTTTTGATGCCTACAAACGTAGTTATTAGTTACCTACCCACCTAACTAGATAACTGTATTAAATTTCCCTGAATCATGTTAAATTATTTCTATAAAATTCAAAATGCCTTAGCAATAATATTATAATGTTGTATGTTAAAATGTTAAACACACATTTTTTATTTTTAAATCAGGCTGCGGAGGTCGTATTAAACTTAATATTGAGTAAGCACACCTCACTACCACGGAGGTGGACGCGACAATAGTATATAAAAACAAAAGTGATTTGCCTATTATATTACTATGAATGCCGTTGTAACGGGCTCAGGGTATGGATGTAGACTTTGAGGAAAAATTTTGAAATAAATTAAAACTCCAACTCAAGTTTGTAAATAATTAATATTTCCTCACAAAATATTAAAATTCCAATAAATAAATCTTCACAAATATGCTAAGTCCAATAATACACATCAAAAATATTCAAAGTCCAATTAAATTAAATCCACAAAAATATTACAAGTCAAAAAATAATTCATAAAGCAGAATGTCGTGAAGTTGCTCGCATTTGATCGTGGTGAACTCACCTGGTTAGACGGTGATTCGGGTAGCGTTACATATACTTGGAGGGACCCAGCACCCCGTTGTTCAGAGTTACGCCTATCTACATTATTTCGTTACTCACGTTTTCTATATAATATTCCTGGAAATTAATTATCTAAGCATCGGTCACCGGTTTCACGCGTCTTGCTGTTTTTATTTTATGTTCGCCATTAAATTCTGTGTTAAAAAGATGTACTTTATTTTATTGTACTTTATGACGATGTTGTTAGTTTTAATAGACCTAGTCTAACTTTGGAAATCTTAGCTCTCGGTTTTGGGTGTGGTCCCCCTTTGTGACTAATCCAGTGCTCACATAATTTAACCTAATTAATACGGGTCCACACACGTATACCTATAATAGCGCGTGGGCATGTAACACCGTTCAGGTATTCAATCATTCCCTATCTTTAGCATGTTTATAAATTTCTCATTGGTAAGCAGGTACCATTATTTCAAAACTGCAGTGATCCGTTCATATTAAAAAATAAGTAGATACCTACCAAGCCACCTTGACAATAATGAATTACCTAGTAAAACTTCAACATTCATCATAACACAAATCATTATACCTATATTTAAAATATTTTAATAAATTAAACCCAGGGTCGTATTACTAGTTCATCTTTTGGATTCGGAGTGTAGTGAGGGATGATCTATTTTCCGTCACAAAAACATGATATCATATGATTACTTATTAGTGTAAAACAGTGGTTCTTAACGTGGGCGGTATCGCCCCCTAGAGGACATTTCAGTTCCTCGAGAGGGCTGTAGGTTTCAAGAGAATGGTAAGTTTTTAAATGCGGAATGGTGGAGGAATAAAAAATTTAAAACGCCAGCGTCCAAAGACTCGTTATCGCACATGAAATCAGAATAGCTGTATATAAGACCGGATTTAAGGTTGGCCAAGATTCCTACAATACTCGGTATAATGACTGATGAGAAAAAAAAAAGGTATCAGCAAAACACCAAGGTAAGCCTATAATTTTGGGTGAGGGGGTGTTATCATTCAGTTATCTCGATGAAGGAGCGCTAAATCGAAAAAGGTTAAGAACCACTAATGTAAAACAAAAAACGAAAAATCCTTTAAAATTTCATAGTATCACAATACACAGTTAATACAGGCGATAATGGCCAATAGGATCACAAAACTCACACCTAGTGAATTTCAGTTAATTTTGCATGGTAGGCATACTGACTGCTAGCTAATGTAGGTAACAAAAAAAGTATGAACAAAATAAAATATAAAAAAAACGACCCCAACCCTCTCAATGACCCGTCAATAATATATACCGGCTTTTTGTATATCATTGATTAAAATTTAAAAAAAAAAAATGGTATTTTTAAGACGAAAATGAATACCTACATTTATTAACTCATATACAAGTTTTTTTCTAGACCTCGACAATTTTGTTCAAACTATCCAGACAGACTCTAGCGCAACACAGCTATGATGATTCTCTAAATGTTTTTTTTCAAAAATGGCAATAACATGTTTGCAATATTATAAAAAAGTTTCAACCATATTGTAAATAGTTTTACTATATTAAATTTAAATATAATATTAACAATTTGAATAAAGATATTTATCAAATAGTTGAATTAAATTACATATTATCCAAGTTCCAAAATAAGCATATATAATGTATATAATACTAAATAATATTTGACGTGTAGTGTCTGTGACAAATATTGAAGATTTAATAAATTATCCATTTGAATTATTGAAATTTGTCATCCAAATATCCTTAAAAGTATCTTCACAATAATTTAACAATAACTATTTTTTCAGCAGTATGTTTCACTTGATTGCCCTTAAGTCCCCTAATTTCCAATTACATGTCTGTAAACATAACCCTTTCATTTCATATGATACATCATAATAATAATTTATGGTGAATTGTACCACACTAAAATAAATTCAATAGTATTTAAAACTCTATAATACCTTCATTTTAATATTTAATGGTACCTATATAGTATAAATGTAAACTGAATAGAGGAGATAAATACGTGACAAATTATAATATTGATTTTTAAAGAAATATTATTGAAAAACAAATCATACCTACCTTTAAAATATTCCTTTTAATAAATAAAATCTATTAAACAGTTTTAAATTTGTTATGATCACAATTACAAAATATTTTATAAATTAATATATAATGGTTTAATCAATTATATAAATACAAATATTATTATAAAAATAATTTTGAAATACTAAAATGTAGGTAATAATTTACTGTCAAATACATAAAAATATATTAATGATTTTCCAACTGGTCAACTATTGACCTACTGTGATCAAGGTTGAATTTATTCTTTATTGTAATTTGAGCTGTTCATATTTTTGGACATGTAGTTACTTAAAAAAAATCTACAATTATATTTTAAAACATTCAGATTCAATTGTTTTGTCAAATTGTTAACTAATATAGTTTATAGTATTGTGCCAGAAACACTAAAATTTAAGTAAGTATATTTATATGTATGCATGTATTATAGCAATTTTCTAGTTCAAAGCAGATTCTGCGCAAACATAGCTGCCAGTTTTTGCCATTATACGATAATCAGTAAACATGATACTGATACAATTAATAATAGACAAATTATTTTTCCTACAACAGTTAGATTTAAAATTGTCAGTTTTTGAATCCAACCATTACATATTATTTTATTTCGGTAACTGACAATTTAAATTTTCATATAACAATTTTCTATGCTAGTAGCTAGATATTTTCTGGTAAAATATTTTTACCTCACCTGATCATTAAAAAGACTGAGAATTTTAACTTAAACTATTTAGGACTTATAAGACTGATAATTAGACACTAAATCGTGTTTAAGTGGTTTTTATTTTATTGTCCTATTTTCTAGTATTTAGATGACTTTAACATGAAGATATTACACAGAAATATTGTTCTACTGACTTTTGACTCTTCTTTTTTTTTTTTTTTTTTAGGTTTATTTTGATCAATATAAGAATGTTGTGAATAATTCATTTTAAGATGTTAAATATTAATTCTCTATAAGATTACTCATATATGTTACATTTCAATCAGTGATCACAGAGTAGCATGTCGATTTAACCATTTTTGTACCACGATTCAACTGTAACATTACTATAGCAATTTACAACAATGTATTCTATGTTCTAAGATAATAGTTACCAAATTCAAACTCACATAGAAATACACTGGCTAACATGTTATCTGTGTTGTCATTGGATGGCCATAAACTGTATTCCTACAAAACAAAGAATATTTAAATATTAAATAATGATTATTTTTGGTTAACATTTCAGTGAAAGTTATCTAGGGACTGGCATTATACTATTATCGTATGTTTGTAAAATTAATTTATTAAATCTTTCTATGTCTAAATAATATAATAAATATTTCAACAACAAAAATTAAATGATGATTAACAAGAAACTTAAAAATATCACTGAACAATGTTTGAATAAGAATAGAATATATTTGTTTGTACATACATACAAGGCTGGGCATTAACACATTAAAAGTTAAGATAAATTAAAAATGTATAATAAGTTACTTTTTTACAGGATTAACTTTTATCTTAATAAGTTATTTTTATTGTGTAGGTACTAAATGTGTTAACTACGAGTTAATTTTATATATTTTTAGTCAAGTTAAATTTTGGTCAAAAAAAAAAATATTAAAAATGTTTACTTCATTTCTTATTTGATAAATCACCATTTTAGTAAAATTTCAAATAAAATGTTTTAGTTTTAGAAATGCATAAAGCGATTGACGCAACAAGATAATGTGACATGGAATCCAATAGTCATATAAGTGAGTCCAATCCAACTTATAACTTATCAAACCAGTTTGCCAAGCAATATGTTAGTTTAAATTTTTTTAAATAAAATGCTTTGACATTTTTTTTTCTTTTGGTTTTCTAATTTTGACCTATGATGACGAAATTTATTGGTTTGATGTAAAAAATAATAATTGGAGACCCTTGATCTAATTACCCTTTCTTAAGATATTTTAATTGACAACAAAAATGTGAAATTTAATATTATAACTAAGGTAATATTTACTTGCTAAATTATTTTTAGATAAAAAATAATTCTTAACTTGACCAGCCTTATACAGAGTAAATCAAAATTTATAATACAGTCATTTTATCACAAAAATATTTAAATTAAAGAAAAATATACATTACAAATTATTTTAGATGTTAATAAATCAAACAAATTTTGCATTATACATTTTTCTCTATTAAATATTTACATGATAAAATGGCTATAATATAAATTTAGAATCATATTGTACAATATAATGTTAGTAATTATTAGTATTGAAATGAATAATTTTTTTTTTAAATTGGTAAAAATTGTTTTTTTTTTTTACCAACCTTTTTATAAAATCATTTGAAATTAAATAACAAACCTAACCTAACCTAACCTAACTTAACCTAACCTAACAAATCAGAGTTCAATTTAGTCAGTAGAATGTTGTATTTCAATTAAAACCAAAATGATAGGAAAATATTAAGTTGACAAAGAATTGTCTCCATCATGGAGTGATTTTTTTTTTTTTTTAAGGGTCATATCCTTTCCTCCTTAATGGGTATCAGGTATTAGAATATAAAAAAAGTCTAATATTTAAGGTAGTCAATAAAATATAACAAATAATTTTCAAATTTTACAAAATTTGGAAAACTGGAACTAGGCACCAGGTATATAACATTTCTGTTAGTTATATCATAATTAATTTGGAATTAGGTTGAATAGATAACTTAAGTGAATGGGCATTTGAAGAAATTATTAATTTAGTTTAAAATTGGAGTGCCATATCAATAATTATGTATAGAAATAGAACTTATAGTACCTACCCACCTAAACAAACAATAAATCAATTTAAACATTTAAAGTACTTACAAAATTGTATACAGTTTACCTATATAGATTGTGTTAATAGTTAATACAATGATAAAGTAAAACTAAAATTATTAAATGGTTAATAATCGTAAATGAATACATAAATAAATAAATTAATGAATGTCACCTGGAGCTTTTTAATACTCTAGGCAACATATTCATTTATTTATTTATTTATTTATTTATATATTTGTTAATAGTTGTTATAAAATAGAATAGTATATTTGAGAATAAATATTAAACTTAATAATAATACTATGTCATGAAAATAAAATAAATATAAACAAAGTATTTCCAGAAATAATATTGATAAAGATACACAAACATGTTACAATTTTCATTAAGAAATTACTATACATAATACATGAAACGTAATATAGCAGTTTACAATTTACCATTTTTTATTGTATTTTTTACTTTTCCAGTAAGAGCCATCAGATAATTGTTGGACATATATTGAATGATTTGCATTCAGTTATAATCTAAAAAAAAAAAGGTACATATTATAATCGTATAATAAATTCAAGCAAGAAAAAGGCTTATACTGGTATGAATGTGCCAGTTTTAGAAGAGATATTGTAAGGGAGGATATATAGAGTAATTTAATTTATATCTGTACATAATAATAAATTATTTTGAATAAAAACTAATTCTAAGCAGAATACTATTATCTTATTTCTTCTCTTGTTGTCAAGGTAACTCAAAAGTCAACAAATATATACACACAATTGCCAGTTCTTATCATTTTTCAATACTGATGATTATTATTTAAATTGTGAAAAAGGTGACAAAAATAAATTTAAATAATAGAAATTATTAACAAACATTTTTTTAGGGGAATTGGCTCTAGTTTTTCAAATTTTCTTCAATTTTGTGAAATTTTAAACAAATTGTTTTACATTTTAATGATGGTACTTCACAACTTATCTACTGCTTGATAACTAGTTATGTAAAACAGATACGACAAAGGTTTATTTAGGTAGAATAATTAATAAGCTAAAGTAAATAAAAGAGAAAACGTGATAAAATATGGATTTTTCTAAGAAAAAGTGACTTTTAGTGACTCACTAGCAATACCATATTTTATTAGATAAAAATGCTACAAAAGAATTCCCCTCTTTTTATTTTTATTTTATTCTTATAATTGCATCATTGCTATATTACCCCTAAATACTCCTATATATCCCCTAAATTCTTCTCTATACCCCCTAAATTCTCCTATATACCCCCTAAATTCCTCATTAGGGATGAATTTCCCCGCCGTTGAGAACCTTACACAATAGCGTAATAATAAAGGATAGTTTTTTGTGGAAAACTTGTTAACAGAAAGAAAAAAGCACACATTATTGGTAACCAACAAAAACTAAGTCTGGAATATTATAATAAATTGTATTTATTTACTATTGGTTTAAATTTCTAAGATCATCATTAGTTAATAGTTCCTGAGTTATACTAGGAACTAATGATAATTTTTTTAAATAGAAACTATTCGTAAATAAACAAAATTAGATACCTACCTATTATGCTATTCTAGGTCAAGTTTTTCTTCATCGGTATTCAATTTTTTTTTTTTTCTCATACCTATTATTTATAAAGCTATTTATTTTATTTTTATATTTTTGAGTATAAACTACAGCAAGTTTTTATTATATACATAGATTTATAAATATTACTATTTATACTTTAAAAGAACTTATATAAATAATTTAGTTATGATTTAAAATTTTAATTGTATTGATGATGTGCCTGTACTCTTGTTGGCGTTAAAATAAAATAAAAACAAATATGTAACGGATGTGACACTAATGCATAACTAAACATTCTAAAGATAATTCTATTAACATGGCATAGTTTGAATGAAATTATTACCTATACATATCAACAGTCTAAAAACCATGAGTCATCAACTTATATCATAGACGAAACTACAAAATAAATAATCATTAGTTACCATTATTTTATTATTATTTTTTTTACCCGTTATTGATGAAATCACTTGTATTAACTATAAAATAATAGATATTTTCTAGTTCTGTCATGCCATTGAATCTATGTATTCGACTTCTGGAAAGTTAACTAGTTTAAAATATACACAAATATATTTGAATAACTAACAAGTAGTTAACTATGATAGGATTTAATTTCTTACCTGCTAAGTTAATTATTTAATTTGAACATTTTGAACAAAATTAAATAATTAACAACAAACCGTTTAAAAGTTATGCTTTACGTACGTTCTGTTAGCAGATTTGATAATTGATAAGAGGACCCAGTGACTCCCAAACTGCGTAAAATTGCTATAAAGGCGGTAAATAGGCAATAAATAAATATAAATGAAGTTATAAAGGCGCTTAAAAAAATGTAAGTTACTTAGTACATAATAATATGTGTCACAGTAATCCGAACATGATCCATAAAAATTACCATTTTCAAATCAATTTTCCGACGTATTCAGGGGCACATTGAACCACAGGTATGGAACTAAAATAACTTGCAAGAGCCCTTTTTTAAGCTCGAGAGAAGCCAGGCACGGATTGAGAGTTACAGCCTCAGTTAAATAGGTATAATATTAAACAAATATTGTTAAAGAAAATACTTAATATATATTATGTAATTATTTTACCATAATATGACATGTATATTATTCAATTATTGGCAAAGAAACACTATTAATCCAACTCTGCTCAGAATCAATTTTTTCGTTAACAATGGTTAATCGTAGCATACAAGTATACATGTACAAGTGTACATTAAATTTCCTTATGTGCGAAATACGTCCATCTATTTTTATTTTTTGATTAGTTAAATTAATTTATTAATTGATTTAAACAATTATTTTTTTATTTGTTTAATAAACACCAAGTGTTGAATTGTGAATCTGATTATAATATGATTTTACTTGCTGATTGAACTTGATTGAACTTTTTGAATCTGACATTAATACATTTAACCATTATAAATTAACAATTTCATCTTCTCATCAAAATCTATATGTTTTTGATAAATTAAATGATTCCAACTATCTATATAAATACTCCACCTAGTCAATTAGCTGAAAATACATATTATTTCAGGATTTTCACATTTTAATATGTTCGCAGCAAATAAATCCCATAAAAAGATTTGATCACCAAAAATTATGGTTTTATATAGTCTCCTAAATTACTATTTTAGAAACAATTGATATAACTGACACAATCAAATCAAATTAACAGCTGATGAATTTGAATTCTTAAAAATCCGAAAAATGAAAACGAAGAAATGTGCGGACTATACGATTTCATATTTTAAATTTTAAAGTTTTGTATTCTACCAAATTATGCTTAGAGATCTTTTTTGTTGCATTTTTAATCTAGTTGACGAGTTGAAAAGCGGTTTTTTTTTTATTTTTCGTGTATTTTTTTTAAATAATTGTACAAAAATTAAAATAATGGTTTTATTATTTATAATTTTGTTTTTGTTGTAATTCAGTTAAAACTGTTTGTAAAAACTTAAAAATTTTAACAAATTGTATTATTTGTTTTTTCTAGAGTAAAATTTTAAAAAACATTTTAGCGATTTTTGAGTTATTTACAGGCATTTGGTGTTTGCGAGATTTGTATGTAGTTTTTCTTTGGTATATAGGTACTATGTAGGTATAATTATTTAACCCAACAGAAATACTTGAAAAGTTAATAGGAGTTTTATTATAAAAACGACTTTCTTTGTCAGTGGTAATATACTAAAAGGTTCCTAATTTTTAGTAAAATCGATAACTTGTCAATTTTAATTGAGACGATATTTTTGGTAGAAAACATCGTTTGCAAAACTTAAAAATAATTAAACCGGGACGCCACGTTGCCGTCACATATTTGCCATTTTACCTATAATTTTCTTTTTAGTTTTTCCAAATTATTTTGAAAGTCCCTTGGAAAATCAAAAAATTTCCTATTTAAACTAACTAGAGAAAATTTTCTTTTAAAAAAAATTGCTACACTTGATACTTCGAAACAAGTTTACTGGCAGAAAATAATATGCTCATAGGTACAAAAAAAAAAAAAAAATTGGTTGATGAAAATGTAAAATTTTAGATCCGGTTGTTTCTTAAATGTTTTAAAAAACGAGTAGTGAATAAATAGAAATGCATATTTATTACCAATATGAATAATTAATAGTAATTGGTTAATTTTCTTGGGCTCTTGATGATTGAATACATATTTTGTAGCATATTGTATTTTATTGAAGAATATAACTGTTATAAATTATTGGATCGTAGCAAATCGGTCAGTCACGTGACGTATAAACCACGTAGGTACACGATGAAACGCGTATAACGCCTTTGTGTTATAGTTCTGATAGAACCAAAAAATAACCGACGGATTAAAAACAAATACAAATAATATAATAATATGAATTGATTACCGCGTAATAAAATATAATATCGGTTCAATGATATAAGTACAATAAAGTAAAATAAAATGTGATAAATTTGAATGGGGGAAAACGCAAAATCGACGAAAGAACATATTTATGTTATTCAGTATAATAATAATTAATAATGTTGTATTATACTGATGTTGCAACATTGTTAACTATTGTAGGTATAGAGTTAAGAATGTTTGGCCTTTGCCGGCGAATTATTCGGGACGGTTGCGGCGTTGTTCTTGTTGTTGTCTTCTTTTGGCCGCTCGGACGACTTAGTCTTGTTAACGCCGTTCTTGTTGTAATCTTTCTTCTCCGTGTCTTTCTTGTTCGGCTCGCTGATCCTCGGCGACAACGACGACAAGTACTCCTGAAAGTCGCCCAGACGAACACATTATAACAAACGACGCCATAAAATATACTTTGCTGTTTACCTGTATCAATTGCTTCAGGTTGTCCACGAACTGTTTGTACTTCGCTAATTCCGCGTTGGTAAATTCAATGGCCGTGCCTTTCGCTTTTTCCAGATTGGCTAACTGAAAACGACATCCAATAAAACGTTAGATAATATTATATTCATGATATCAAATTTGACTACTACGCCTTGACCTAATGATTTTTTTTAAAGAAAATTAAGGATTAAAAGAAATATTATAGCACGCAAAAAAAAAACCTATTGGTCAAGGCATGTTTTTTTTTTATAAAATGTATTTATATTGTCCTACACTCAACCAGAGAGTCGAAATCGTGAAAGTGAGAAATGTTTTTGTTGCTATAGTATGTACGCACGAGTGTGTACATCTAGCCGATTTTGATTTTTCGTTTATGTGGTCGTGTACAGGGACAGGGGCACAGGGACTTAGGCTGCATGGGCCATACATCCATTATAGAGAATTTTGTCTATTTCTCTCTCTCTCTCTCTCTCTCACTCTCACTTTTACGTCTTGCAGCTAAAGGTGATTTTTAGATTGTTCATCATTATCTAGTAATTATTTATTTATTGATTTGATTTATGAATTTAAAAAAAAAAGCCCTTGTGTATCAATTTTACGTATTGTACTGTGTACAATTATACAATTATTATACTTGTTGATTTTCAGTTTTTTCAATTATATTCCCAAGGTCTACAGTTCACCGAACTATTAATATTATGAACACACACAAACACTATTGTAATTTGTCAAACAGAACTTTGGTGTAAACAATTTTTGAGTAAGCATATTGTAATAAGTATTGTATCAATAATATTATTGTACATACTCGTATTATTAATTTACTTACTATGTAAGTAGGTATTCAACAGTTTGAATAGATTATATAGATTATATAAATAATAGTTTATTCAAATAGATCTATTTGACAAGTTATAATATTGTTTGATTTATTCAATAGGATTTAGATCGGTAATAAAAAAAAATGTCAATGATTCATTTTTTTAGAGAGATGAACCTAAACCATAACTCCTCCCTGTGGTGTAACTTATATGGTGGAGGGCTAAGGTGACTAACCCCCTTCACATGTACCGTGTTTATACATGTATACTATTTTTCGATTTGAGTGTTCACAACGTTTCAAATTAATCCTTCTTATCCTAAAAGTACGATATTTTTTTTACATTGAACTGTATGAAAACGTTTTTAGGAAGAACACTATATATAAAAAAATTGATTCTATGTGTTAGAAGCGGCTTGAAAATTAATTATTCTTTGCCTTTGGTCGAAATTCTCCTAGGAAGATGCAATTGTCTTAAATCAGTACCGAGTAATAACAGTTACAAGTTTTGTTAAGATATGACACATATTCTATTATTTCATTATTAATTTTTTTTTTCATGTACATTTTGCAGTACCAATTACTCACACTAAAATTAATTTTGACAAAACCACTTTTCTAATTTTTTTTGTGGGAGGGGAGCGAAAACTCGAATCCTTATCTATACCCATTTCTCAAACAAAAGCGTATTTTTTACCCCCTATATTTAAAATCCTAGCTATACCACCGAATACTCTCGTTTGAAGTGCCTATAATATACAAGACTCAGAAATACTGAACTTGTTTTGTTATTTGCATATTTTCTTTTTAAAAATGAATATATATTCGTCACACCTTTATGAATTTGTCTACCAAAACTGCGATCTCCTGGGCCGTGTAGGTGAATGCTAGTTTGACGTTCGTGGGCGCCAAGTAAACGTACTTCGCAACAAAGTTGGTTACATGCACAAAACGTCTAGCACCCTCCCTGGACAACATTTCGATGAGTTGCTCTACGTTCTCTGGTGGTTTTTGGTTTTCGGGTTCGTCCTCGCTTAAATGATTCCATATGGCTTGCATTTTCTCCGCGAACGCTTTCGGATCTTTAGCTAACTAAAATACATTCATCAATTTATTATTATTGTGTAGGTATAGTTTGGCTCGACTGGTAATATCACAACCGCAAACACTAAATAAACTGTGTCGGTTTATAATAAAAAAAAATATACCCTTGAGCGGCAGAGTTCCATAACTAAAGTCGAATTTTGCTATAATATTTACTATTTAATGTTAATACAAATTCAAACACTCAAAAATAATAACACAAATGAGTCTTCTAAAATATAACATAATATTTAACATAGATTCATCAAAAGACGTAGTCACTTAGTGCCAAATAAAAAAATGTGTGCGTAATATAATAGTTTTTTATACGCTTTACTAAGTTCAAATGTTGACGAAAATTATTAAAATTGTGGCATTTTAAAATATTTAATCGAGATTTGTTCGAAATTATTTTTCGTTAGCAGTGATTTATTGTTGAGTACAGATATAAACTAAATTACATTATAAATACTATACATTACCATCTTCCCCCCTACAAAAATGACGCATCCATCAGCAGTATCAATTCTTTTAAATTGGTTTTTGAAAACATAAAATTCATAATAATATCTTAAAGCTTATGATTTATTACAATTTTTCATTAATCAGATTTGTTTGTGCTATACGCTCAACGCCGAGCATCCAAATATTTTAGTGCTGTAGTTTTCGTCTGACTCCATTCCTCGAATGATGTTCAACATCATTTTAAGTATTTAACTAAACAAGTTAGTATCAAAATAAAACCGTGGAGGTAATATAACAATACTAGAATGGCCAATAGTAAACAATTGGTATAGATAATTAAGATCGTCTAGCTATACAGGGTGTCCCATAAAGATAATAAAGATAATTAAATTCTGGTTTTTTTATATTATTCACAGAGATAAGGACTACAAATATTTATATTCAAATTATTTTTGTATGCTTTGTTAAAAAACTTAAAAAAATTACTTTTTATTTTATTATTTTAGAAAACTTTAAAGATAACCATTTTAAAGAGTTTATTATTTTTCTTAAAATGTTGATGTATCAACTTTTTATTTTCATTAAATTTATGTTCTTAATAATTTTTCAAAGTTCAGAGAAAATTAGGTACCTATATTTATACAACAGACTGTAATCGCAATATCGCATTCTCTAATTAATAATTATTATTACAATTAATTGACTGTACACTTTTTTCTCTATAAAAGAAATAAGAATAAACTCTATAAAATGGCTACATTAAAATTTTTCAAAAATAATAAAAAAAAAGTTATTTTTAAAATTTGTTTACAAAAACATAACAAATTAATTGCGATATAAATATGTGTACCTACTTCTTATCCCTGTGAATAATATAAAAACATCAGAATTTGATTATCTTTATTATCTTAGGAAATATTACAATGGGTATGTCTTCGTGGGACACTCTGTACCTATATGGCTATATAAAAATATATACTATTACAATAATACCTATAATATTATCGAAGTTTAATTAGATTGTATGTTTTTCTGTTTGACGTTTATTTGTACATACGTATTACATTAAACAAATAAGGACATAAGGTTATATTATGATAATGAGTTCACGGGTTCAAATAAAGGTAAGGTTAAAAATAGAGTTAAAATTATAAAAAAAATAAATAAAATAACTACAATAATATAACTATTAATAATAATATCTATTCAGAAATTTGTCCATGAATAATTTCTATGATACATTGTTTTTTGTCAAATTAAGAAATTTTTACGAAACATTACAAAAAAAAAAAACGAATTATAAAAAAATGGACTTATATACTCGTATACAAAAGGTTCAAAATCCCAAAGACGTCAAAGTCCTAACAGATAAAATTCAAACAATATCAAAATCTCTACAGGTAATATTATCACCGAATTATTATATTTCACACCATAGAATAGATGCTCACATTACGAGTATTGGGTCTGACCTCTGACCACTATAATAAAATATTTTATACGTATATTACATTACGAAATGATACAATTTTGTGAAAACTATACGAAAAAGTAAATGTATGACTATACTACTAGTCTACTAGCTGTCCCGCACCCGGCGTTGCCCATGCTAATTTGTATATTATTTTTTACCCATACTAATGTTTGGTTTTGACCGTGTCAGAATTGAATGAAAACATTTAGGTGGAAAGTGGGTAGTCCACCTTCGGCAAACTACTAACTAAAAATGTTCTATTGTGAAATTTTAATAATGTAAATAATAGTAATTATTAAAGTTATAATAGTTATCTTATCCGTGACAACCAAATTATCATCCGTATCACCAAGGTAACCCTTGAACAAACAAAAATAAATAAATAAGCAATTAGATATTTATACCAAATATATCTAGAAACCTCTATTTTACTCCCTTTAGGGGTTGAATTTTCAAAAAAAATTTTCTTAACAGATGTCTACGTCATAATAACTATCTGTGTGCCAAATTTCAGCCCGATCCGTCCAATAGTTTGGACTATGCGATGATGAGAAATTATAGAACGCTCAATTATGGCGTTAAGGGAGTTTAAACGTATTTTTACTAATACAATTAAACACTATTATTATTATTTCCATTTTTTGTTGTTTTTATCTAGATTAGGTATATTATTTAAAAATAGACGGACGACATACTTTGCACGGTGGGTAGGCCACTGTTGTAAATGAGAAGTTAGGAAGGTAGGATTTTATTGGGAATATTAAAAAACATAATTATAAAACCAATACATTCCTCGCTTCACTCAGAATCTAAAAAATACATTTTACTATACTATTTGTTGTATAATGTAATTCCACTGTAGTAGGTACAATAAAATAAATAAGTATAACAATTGTTAATTTATTTTTAAATAATATAACGTGTGAATTATTGTCAATTCTTCACGAATGTTTAGGTGATCAAGAATAACAAAACAATAGCCTCTGAGTCGACTGCGTTGTTTATTTTACGGTTGGTGTAATATATTAATCTAATAATGAATTCGAAATCACGCTCCTATGTTTATACAATTGTTTTTTTTTCTTTCTATAACGTCATTATAAGAAGAAAAAAATAAAAATAAAATAGTAAACAAAAAAATTGTTTGATTACCTGTTTTAGTATTAGTATTTTTTCTTTAACGAATTCATCTAATTAAAACTATATCTTTAAAATTATATTAAAACTTACGAGTTATATGTACGATAGATGGTTTACAGATAAAAGTACAAACCATATTATAAAAAGTGTTTCACTCAAATGGTAACACATTACACATGGTAATAATTTGAGCCGGTTGTACATATAATTAAAATATTTTGGCGTATACTCGCATACAAAAACCGCAAGGATAAAATTTTGTTAGAATTAAAACATAACCCTTTCACTGCCATTGGCGTATATGCGCATTTACATGTTAATTTTAAAAAAGATGGACATACTTCGCACGTGGCCACGTGGGTGGGTCAATGTTTTAGATGAGAAGTTGGGAAGGCAGAAGGGAAATTTAATGTATATCTGTACACGATTAATCATTGTTTACGAAAAACGATTCTGAGCGGTGTTCAGTTATACATGTTTTCAAATTGAAAGACCGTGATATTTACGATTCGAAAATAATAAATTTCATACATTTTCCAGTTTACCTATTTATTAAGAAAACTCCTAGGAAAATCAAAAAATGACGTGTGGTACTTTAAACACGTGTAGGGAACTATAAAAAAAATAAAAAAATGACTTCCTTATTTACCAACTAAATCTTGAAATCTGAAGCAAGATTTCTGGCAGAAAAGCTGTACACAGGCACAAAACACATAGTAAGAAATTCGTACACATCATAATTATACTAATAATACACTCATTGAACCGTGGTGCTCATCAGAATCTTAAATACGCTCCAAAATTATAATTTATAATTTAATATTATTATCAGCTTGTACTTACGAGATCAGCGAAATACACTAAACATTGAACCGTATCATATCCTTGTTTTTTTAGCAATTTTGCCTCCGCAATCGTTCTGCGGGTTAAGCGCCTTTGTAATTTCCTGGAAAAGTGGTTGACGTGTCGGATCGTTTTTACCGTCTGGCTGAACGTCTCCGTGCCTAAAACAATCGGTTAGCTAGATACTCAAAAATAACTAAAACTTCCTTTCAAATAAATGATTTTGCATTATAAATGCATTATCGAGTATTGATAGAGCAACCGTGAAATTTTGAAACAAGTTTTGAAGGACTTTTCGTTTGTTATTTTATGCGAATAAGTAAGTAAATAATAATAGTTTATATGATATTATCATGATTTTATCACGGGAAATCCAAATCGTTATTAATCGTGATTTTAAATGAAATAAACATACAACTTCAAGAATAGTTTTGTAAGTGGAGATTTTTTAAAGAAATAATAATTATAGAGGTTCTTCTTAATCCATGATTGTATCGAAATTTATTTCTACAATTTTATATACCCACACTTACTCGGTTTGTCAGCGACATCCTCGGCAGGATCTTTGTCGGGTAGGTACTTGTCCACGTATTTGTCGGCCACACTCAGCGCGTCATCCAACATGGCGAGCTGTTTGACGGAATCCGCTCGTTTTAATACCGGTTCGACTTTTGCTTTAACGAACGTTTTGGTCGTGAAATAGATCTATGAGTTACAATATTAGTCAATAATTAGTATAGCGGACGATATTTTAAAAATAACACGTAGGTATGATTATATAGGTTAAGTTTCTACAATAATTATTGCAAATACGAGTAGTTCTTTATTTTAAACAAACAATTGCGGTAGTACGATGAGTATACATATTATAACATCTAAATGTACGTTTGACGTTCGAACACGACGGTATATTACAATATTTTGCACATAAACAATAATAAACACTCGTTAGGTATAGGTACCCAGTGCATATTATTATTATCAATTACAGAGTTTGTCGGTTTTAATTGATCATCATATCAGTGGACATAGGTTATTATTATCGTCGTTATATTGAACAAACAATTCCGGCGTTAATATGATGTGACCCACCTACTCTGAACATACAGTTTGAGAGTACAAAAGCAGCAAGGTACCTGTACCGGCTGTACTTCTAACGTATTTCTATTCTCAAAACTGTAGCACACAATTTGAAAAACTCTGTATAATAGATATATAAAATATTTGCCGTTTATGAGAGGACGTAAGTAAAAATATCGCCCTGTAAGTACTCAGAGATAACGAGTTTTTAATAGAAAATAATAATATATCGAAAAACGTATACCTAATACGTAACACTATCGTTGTGATATCATAGTCAGTAGTTGACGTATTAATATCATACATTATCGATTGCATTAACGAAATTGTTGAATTAAATAGCAATTAATATAATATGATATTATAATAAACGAGTAAGTATATAAATTTAATTTTCGGGTGGATATATACTATACCGAACCATGATATCTAAATATTACATTAAAAAAACTAGCGAAATTAAAATGTCTATAGAAACTCAAAGATGGCTCAAATGTTTTCAAAATTTTACCACGTATAAAAAAGACAAATATAAGGTTGCTCTCCAAATTTCATGTCTATACGAATATTTTAAACTGAATTAAAACAAAACAAAAAAACAAAATTTAAAATTATAAAAGGTTAGGTTAGGTTAGGTTAAGTTATTTTCGTAAATTTTCCCATTTTTCCCACGTTATTTTTCCTAATATTTTCTATTTATTATGAAAACCCCTGGAAAAATCAAAAAGTGATATTTGATACTTCAGAACAAGATTTCTGGTAAAATTTTAGTACACAGTATGAAAAAATAAAAAATATAAACATCGTTGAAAAACCAATACATTCCTAATCATTCAGAATTTAATATAGGTAGCTGCAGGCACAGATCCACGGGAGGGGGAGACAATGGGGGTGATCCCCCTTGCATTTTTAAAAATAATTACTGTTGTTATCTTATTACTAATAATAAATACTTATAAAGTTATAAAAATATGTTTTACATAAAATAGAAAAATTTACTTTGTTTCATAATTTCTAAACAAATAATTAGTCATTATTAAATTTTAGACTTGTTTTTAATTTTTTTCTGATTCTTATTATTCTGATTATCTGGTTGCGTATCGTCGGAAATCGTTCAATCGCCAATAATAAATTATTAATAGTCATAGAATATGTTGAGGTAACAGCAGAATACATTATCTTATCTGTATTCTGTATTTCATAAAACCAATGATTTATACGATTTGATGATAACAATGATTGTACGTACCTATACTTCGTTCCATATAAGAACGTACTGCTCGGTGCATACAAATTTATCGTGGAACGACGTCCTGCCCCCATGGTCAAGTCTATTCGCTCTACGATTGGTTGTCATTAATCGGCTGCGCGAGTTTTGACCGATTATTGTCCACCGCCCGGTACGTTCTTATTTGGAACAAAGTATATGTCATATTAATATATTATATGACTAACGTATTGTATAATCGTATACTTGTATACCATTCATTTTATGAGTTTATAGAATTAATACAAATTAGCCTCCAATACATGTTAAATAGAAATAAAGGTAATTTAATTTTTGAAAATTTGCCTCCCCCTCCTTGGGTGACTTCTGGATCCAAAACTGCAGGATAGCTGGTAGGTGTAAACCAGAGGTTCCTAAAGTGGTCTATATCGACCCCTGGGGTCGATTCTTACCTGCAAGGGTTCCATATCAACGAAAAAGAAAATTGGGAATGCATGAGATGTAAATAGGAGTCCACGATAGTTATCAAGTCAAAAATACGTGTATAGTTTTAGCACAGTTGCCAATCTTCTTACAAAAATAGATTAAAAATCACTGGTAAAGGAGATTTAAGATAAAACCTGAATAATTTGAAGCCAAATAATGATAATTTACTACCAAAACATCCCTTCGCATTAAAGATATAATTTTAATATTTTTATATTATTACATTTAATTTGCATTTCCTGTAGTTTTAAGTGAGTAGCTCCGTATAAGCTGTCAAAAATACGTTGATGAATTTGTAAACATTCAATATTAGGGGTCTATGTAAAACAGAAAAAATTGGCACGTGGTCTACGGGGAAAAAAAGTTTGAGAACCTCTGGTATAAACTATAAATAGGTACCTACTATTGTTATCAAGATGTATAAAAAGGTAATAGTTTTTTTGTGTAATATCGAACTGCCTACTGCCTATTGCCGATATAACATCATGATGCTCATAAACTAATATTCCGCTTATATAATATTATATCATTGAAAACAAATTTTATGTGTTTTCAATAAAAATTGATGAAAATTGATAAATAGTTTATTTTTAATTAAAATAGTTTATATGATTTTATCTATTATAACACACGTCTCATTTTGCACTTCGGGTTAAATTTGTATATTATCACCGATTAAGATAAAACATGAAAGTCATAAGTCATAAGTAAAGACCGTATTTAATTTATACTGCAATTTTTTTTTGCAATAAAGATAAATCAGATCTGATTAAAATACTAAAAATATTCTGCCTATTTAATTTTATAATACAATTTTTTGCAATTTTCCCACATTTTTAAATCAGGCGTTTATCGTTCGTGTGGAATTTTCTAGAAGCTTAGAGAGCCCAGCGAGCGATAATCGTCTATATATATATGATGATGGTAATTAAATTCAACGTAGTAGTACAGCGATTCGTGTACGTTTACCTGTTGGTACCATAGTACCTATTTCTTTGATCAGTTTGACCGCACACTGAACGTATTCGACGTAATGCCTAAAATAAAATCTACTTTAAAAAGTAAAATTTCGAATTGGATTGCTCCTTACAATAAAATAAAGTACTTTCATCAGATGGAAAGGTATTATATTGTCTCGTATGTAAACAATCTGTGTCTAGTGAAAAAAAAAATCTATTAGATCATGATTCCAGAACAAGTAAGTTTTGTAAAATCAACACTTAAATGCATTACAAAGGAATAAAGAAAAAAAAAACAGCTTTTGATTGCTTCTCAAAATTCGAATAGTAAAAATGTATTTTTTACAACTGCATTATAAATAGCAAGTCAATTCCGGAAGAAAGTACTTTAAGAAAAAATTATATAACAAATATTTATAAAAGTGTTATGGACTAAATAATTAGTGATATTGGCAATAATTACGTTTACATAATTGTTGACGAAACAACAGAAGAAAAAATTACATACCAAATATTTATAAAAGCGTTATGGACCAAATAATTAGTGATATTGGCAATAATTACGTTTGCATAATTGTTGACGAAACAGCCGATCCAAGAGATGTATATAGATACATAAATATAGATATATAGATATATAAATAATTTGTTTAATTTCTCATATAATAAAATATATTATTTTAGATTAGGTTTGGCTATTGCAAATTTATTAACTGGTAAATTAGATGGGACACCTAGTAAATCATATTTAGTTACATGTAAAGAACTAGAATCCATCATTTATGAAACTATTTGTCAGTTTATTAATTCCTCCTTAAAAATATTTCCTGATATTGAACAAAAAGTATTACATTTTATTAGTGATGCTGGTACTTCTATGATCAAAGCAGCAAAAACATTAAAATTATTTTTCCCGAAATTAATTCATATTACACGTATGACGCAGGCAGTTAATAGAGATCTAGAGAAAATTCAAAAATTGTTTCCCGACATTAATAAATTGATTAACAATGATAATATATTAAGTACCTATTTAAAACTTAAATACATATGTAACTTATTGAGTTTTTTTCAGGAAAAAAAGCTTTCCTAAAAGCACCATCGAGAATAAAAAAATACAGAAAAAAAATGCTGGGTATACCTTTACCACCCGAATCTGTTATTATAAGATGGGGGACATGGTTAAATGCTGCACTTTTCTAGGTAAATAATTTTGAAAAGTTTAAAAACATGTTTAACAAACGATGCTACAAGAGTCGAAAAGCTGAAAAAGCTTATACAAAATAATGCAGTCAAATGTGGTTTAGCATTCATAAAATTACACTCAGATAAGTTATCCATGAATCTTAAAAATTTGAAAGAATCTAAAAGTGAATTACTGAAAAGCATGGATATTTTAACAAATATTCTTGATCCAAATGAGAAAAAAATTAAATAAAAATGTTTGTATGTAATTGAAAAAAATGAAAGGCATACAATTATATAATTTTAATATGCAATTTTTGTGTGTTTTAAATGCAATTAAATCCGTTCTTTAGTCATAAGTAATATTCTTGAATATCACAAATACAATATTATAATTACCTAATTTTAATTATTCGATCAGAACATAAACCTAGTACTTTTAAATTAGGTACGTATTTTCTATAATTCACGAATTAAGACATATATTATTACATTACATAACAAAATGTATTGTAAAAATAGAAATTATCGGTAAATACGAAATTAAAATGTATACCTCGGAGTGGATATTTGTGTAGATATCTAGATGAGAAATAAAATTTAACACTTTTGAATATTTAAAAAATAACCTACTATAACAGTCAGTATGTACGTCATAATTTATTAAACTCAAGTATTCTGAATTGTATTGATATAATATTATACTCGTAAATATATATATATATGAGTGTACCCACTTAAATGGATCATCATATATATATATTACGGGCAAAAGCCAAAATGTGACAAAACTCAGAAATGCCCGGGCAAAACGCGAAGTGTCCGCGATACTCGGGAAAAACGTCATATTTCGGCTTTTGCTTGAATAAACCTAGTTGTGACCAACCTCATTTGGGAAAATCTATAGCATGTATAAAATATTTTGAACTAAATATATTTTTTGCATATTATATTAATAACAATTTTCTAAAATTACAACAAAAAAATTTAAAATTAAGTGTTATACATATTAAGTACATTAATAAAAATTATTTAATATCACAAAAAAAGATGTGTTTATTTTTTGCTACACATATTCGAAGTTCAAACTATGGGATTTGGAACTAAAAATAATAATTATTTTGTTGTTTACATTTGCATTTCTTTATATAGTACATTTAGTTTCGCAAGAGCAAAAAACAAACCCTTGTCCCCCAGATAGTGAATTTTTAATATTCGTTGTCCTCAATGACACTTCGATATTCGGTATATCTTTGCTGATAATAAATTGGTCCTTGCGCGGAAATATTTGATTTCTAGCATATAGTGATGAAAAAATTCCATTTTCGGTTCCAATTTTATAGAATCCATCGTTAGCAATACTTAATATAACACCCAACTTATTTGTATTAAATGAAATTTTCATTATTTTTTCGACTGTTAGAGGAGGAAATTTATTTTCACTCAATGATTTCATTTTTTTCGCTTGTGCCATTAATTCATCAATAACTTTTTCCCGTGCTTTTTTAAAAATTTTTTTTGTTCAGGTTTTTATTTTACATTTTTTCATTATCATTTATAATCTCTATTTCATTTTCACTCAGAATTGCCCGAATGAGGTTGGTCACAACTAGGTTTGTCTGGGCAAAAGCCGAAATATGACGTTTTGCCAAAGTATCGTGGACACTTCGCGTTTTGCCTGGACATTTCTGAGATTTGCCCGATTTCGGCTTTTGCCCGTCACATATATACAAAGAGATTTTTGACGTGTATTATTCATTCAAACAACAATCAAACAATATTGGCTTAACTTAAACCGATTATTTGATTTTCATTGTGTCTATGTATTAGACTCAGATTTGCGAAGGAATGGGAATTAATTATACTTACATTCCTAGGTAGATACTCGAAATAATTTTTTGTCAGGGGTGGATCCAAGCGAGGCCTAGGGGCCGAGACACCCCCTAGATATATTACTTCTCTGATTTTTTTTTTATAATTCTATAGATCCTGATATTACTATACTCCAATAGTCCAATCACAAATATATATAATAATATAATATATTATATTATATTTTTATTTTATTTGGATTGTGAAAAATGGGTTCCCCCTCCTCAAAACTTTGCTCTGGGTCTGTGCCTGGTTTTTGTAAGATTTGATTATCGTTTATACACTAAAGCACCTGGTATATATTATAAAGATACTAACCTCTTCTGGAGTGTAAGTGACCATTGGAACGTTGTGCTCGACAATATCCAACGATTTGCACATAATTTCGTCGATTTTGTTAATTGGGTCTTCAAATTTGACGACAATCGGAGTGGATATATCTACGACGCTCAACACGGTCTTTTCCGCATTGTCAAGACTGTATTCTATAATTCTGTTTGACGACTATAATTCAGCACACAATAACAAGACAAACTATTTTATATTATATTTATACATAAAAATGTAAAAAGTCGTTCAAATTTTATTTTGTGTTTTTTTTTTTTTTTATAATAATTTCACGAACCTTAACTTTTACGTAAATGTACGTCACTTTGTTGACGCCGGACGAAACTACCGGTAATTTCATAATCCTTTTGATAGCCACGAAGTGCGGATATTCCGGTTTCGACGAAACATTCGTCATGGTGTATGATGGTTTTTGATGACGTAAAAATAAAAATTATAAAACTATATATATTCCAGCTAAAACAGAAAATAATAAAAACCGATCTTTTGCGGAAAAATGTAATATGACGTGTTGCTGCTTCGAAACCGCACGAGTAAATGAATTGGAATACCACGGTGATCAGCAAAACGGAATTATATATTATTTATATTACCGTGCAGTTATATGTACATACACGCGATGACTAAAACATGGTGATCTCTCAAAGGTTATCGGATGCACCGGAACATAATATTGTAATAGGTATAATAATAATATCTGATGCGCTTATTGCAGGTAAATAATGTAAGAGCTATCAAAGAAAGTTTTGAACACCGTGTACATTGGACCTATTTGGTATATAATAAATATTATTATAATATGCGTGTAGTAAAAAAAAAGAACAGAAGTTGACTGTAAATAATACCTATATATAATACGAATGCAAAGTGTAACCTTTATAACAATATATTATAGATGCATTAGTATAAATAATACAAGTAAATGTTTGTGTGTGATATGGTTTGGTGGCCTGTTCCCAAAGACTTTGATCGACTGTAAAAATAAAATAACGTGTAAGTACCTGTACGTTCAAATCTACCCAGTTATGTTTTTATTATTAATATATAGACGCTTAAGTCCAATATAATAATGGTACCACCCAAATTAGTTACGTATTATTTTATTAATAAACACGATAAACTAGGTATATTCGAATATATAATATATTATAAACGGGTCTGCTATGTTCATTGTTTGGAACAGACTAAAAACCGACAATAACGATGACTAAACGTAATGATATAACATTTATTATTTCATGACTTGATGAATTGGCCAAAAAAAAAAAACAATAGTATAAAACTGCTTTATTGGTTTTATAATCATAACCCATATAATATAATATCTGGTGTCTCTTAAATTCGTAGAAATAAATTACTCGATTTCAATTTAAAGTATATAAACGATACTTGAAGGCACATAAAACACAGGAACGTGAAAATCAGGAAAATAAATACCAGAAATACATTTCTACTTAGAAAATTACAAATATTTCACCGGAAATAAAAAAATTAGAAAATAAAAACAGAAAAGTTTTACCGGGAAAGAAATTTTATTAGAAAATGTTGATAATAGTGAAATAGGTAGTGAAATATACGCCCAGTTTTTATTTTTCCAATTTGTATTTTCATGTAGGTAATTAATTTATGGTGAAACATCTCTCTTGGTAAATAATTATTCTTTTTTTATTCTTCCAAATAATATAAATTTTTTATTTTTTCCGGAAAACGTTTTTCCTGATTATAATTTCCCACACTTTATTATTCCTTAAAACACCTTTCCTGTATTTATCGTTCCTATGAATTATGTCTCTGTGTTTCATTTTTCTGACTTTAACAGCCTTCCGAGCTATTGCATATTTGTAGCTTAAGAAAATTATTTTTTATTTATATTTTTCATTACACGTGCATTACAGAAAAAACAAACTAAACGTGTTCGCACTGTAATTCATTAGGTTTTATATAATATTTGTGCTACCTAGAAATTAGAATAACCTTATATGAAATTTTAATACTTACAAATCATTTTAAAATTAAATTGCATAGGATAAAATACAATCACTGATTATTTTACTTATTATTATTAGGCGTGTTTTATCTATGTAGTTTTGAGCAACCTGGTTACTATATAAGTATAGTTCAACGAACAAACTGCAGTTTTGGGGCTATTGTTTAATAACTGAAAGTACTTTCTACAACCAGGTTATAAGAATCAGCAATCATGCTGTACATTAAATAAAATGTTATGGTAACATATTGACATTAAAACTTAGTGGCAAACAATAGCAACGAATGTAGTAAACTGTTTACCAAAAATTAACTCATTCTAACTAGTGGCATCATTTGAGGAAGGGTAAGGAAGGCATTTCCCCCCTTGTCATCAGCTGGCCTCTATTGGGCCGAGTATGGGTTAGTTTTGGGACTCAAGCCTGCAAACATAATTTATGATTTATGTTGCATACGGCCACTCTGAGCTACAGTTTTTAAGATTTATTTGTGATAAGTGTAATAATTCTATACAACATTTGTTTTATTGTACTTTTTGTTAACATTGATTTATTGTACATTAGCTGAAATTTCCTTCTCATAAGAGTCTATGTAAATTTTTGGAGAGTATCTATTCTTATTTAATTTATTCTATGATTATATTAATGTCCATGGTGACATGGTTATGTTTTTTGTAAATACATGTATACTCCATACATATTGACATCAACAGAACATAAATTAGGGGGAAATTCTCCCCAAATTGAATCGTCATATACCTAGTAGCTAATAGGTTATTTAGTTATACTCTACATAGATATTTATTATTTAGTCATTGTTGTCTCTCGAAAAAATGATGCCTATGTAAGTAAGTATAAAATTTTATAATAAGGATATTTGTATTGTGATAAAAATATAATTGTCAGGGCTCCTCTCAAAAACTCAAATGACGACACTAATTGCAACACGCCTAATTGATTGAATCAAATATTCCATTATAGCTGAATTTTATTTATTGCAGCAATAATATTATTGCATTATATTATTATGTGTATTAAAAATAATAGATTACATTGTAAATTTAGTTATGAAATTAACAGATCGCCTACGAGTAAAGAATAACACATTGTTATAAAACATTAAAATAATAAAAAAAAAGAAAGAAAAATAAAATAGTAGAGAAGTGGCAAACATAATAGACAGGTAAAGAATAACATATTATTACAAATAATAATTGGAAATGCAGTAATATGATAAATCAGTAACCTAATCAGTATTATAATATTTACAAACTTATATAATATACTCTTATATTAATATTATAATATTGATAGATACGTTTGTTATTGTTCTTCAAAAAGGTCTTAATCATCAATGTAAGGTTTTTAATTTTTAATTTAAAAATAGTAATTAAACATTTGGCTTTTAGATTTTTTTCAACTTCATAAAATAATAATAATAAAAAAGAGCTGATACTACTGATGCTTGTATTACTGTTATAGATGGGATGTTGGGAAAGTAGTATACATTAAGTTATTTAATTTATATCTGTAAGCAACAGTAAACCTCTGCTAACGAAAAACAAATCTAAGCGGTGTTCGTTTTCCAAATTGTTATAAAAACTGCTTGGAAAATCAAAAAACGGCTTACCTACTTACTTACTCATCAACTAGATTAAAAATGCAACAAAAAGGTAATTTTTCCATTGGAACAATATTTCTGGTAGAAAATTTAAAGTGTGACAATATGAATAATGAAATCGTGAAAAAATGAAAAATTACAAAAAAAACACACATCATATGGCACACCTTGCTCATTATGAATAATAATGATAAATGATAAAAATTTAACCTAATGGTTCTTTATTTGATAAAAATTACTAGATTCCCAACAGTTTTTCTAAAAAAAACTAATAACACTCTTAACAAATGTCGATATTGGTTATTAAAACGTAATAGACAACCAAATACCCTTAATACCAAATAACCTAAAAAGAATAGTTTTTAATTGGAATAATTTATCGTTAGTTTCTGTGTGTAAAATAAATTACCTAAAATATAGTACTATAATTTATATATTATATTATATTGTCATTTTAACTCCCTACCTTCACCTTCTGCTATGTTTATAGAAAGTAGGTATAAGTTCAAGGGAGATACTAAGTATGTAAATTGTACTATGTTTTATGTTTACACATTTTCTTTGATTTAATAACAATAAAAAAAAAATAATAATCCTTTGCCTTCCCAATTTTCCACCTACAACATAGGTGTAAAATGTCTATTAAAGAAGTACCTAAGTACTTACCTATAAAATGATTATACTTGTTACAGTTCAACATGGAAATGGTTATCGATATAACTTGTTAAGAAGTATATATTCTTTGTTTTCTTTATTATGCAAAACGATTTATTATTGCAACGATCTGTAAAATATTATAATATACATGTAATAATTAGAATATCAACAAAGAACAAAAGTAAATTAATTAATTACTATCTGACATAATTTGTTCATATTAAAATCATAATTAAATTAATTAACTCATACGTACCAATTTATATAATAATATGTTGTACATAAAAATAAAATCTTAAAGTCAAAAGTTTTATATTGTCTACCTATTTAATTAAATAAAGATATGTTTTTATGTTGTCTAGATTTTTTCTGGGAGCATCAAACATTATTTTAATACAGATATTTAAAATGAAACATATTAAATTCTGAACTTGCCCCAAAAACAGTTGTTGAATATTCAATATAATGGGTATAGGTAATGGTATCCCGTCAAAATGTCACAGTAAAAGATGTCATCACATAAAAAAATAACTACTTTTTCAAATTTTTAAATTAACATATAAATGCACGTATACGCCGATGACAGTGAACTTTGTACATTTTGTTGTCTTAATTTATAAAGTTTATATAGTTATTATTCAACATTTTTTTTTTTTATTTACATTATAACAACTCAATGTTGAGTTTCGCGGTCATCAATCAATTTGAATTTGTATTAATTCATTAAGAAAAAATAGTTATGTAAACTGTATAAATGGCAACTATAAAATGTACAAAATTTTAAAACATTTTTTTTAACTATACAGAACTGTTTATAAATTAAATGAAAAAGATTATCAAAAAATAAAAAGTTGATTGTTGGATTTTTACATATTTTTTATGCGGTGACATTTTGATTGCGAGCTTTTTACGTAAATTCACTAGTAATTATCATAATATTAATTATAATTTAATTTTTAAAATAATATACCTTATTATTTTAATAGTACCTGGTTAGGTGAGCATTGAAAAACACGAGTTACTCAAGTAAGTACTCGAATTATTGCATACTCTGAAGTCTCTAAAGTCTTTTTTAATATTATACGATTTATAGAATTATTTGAGCTATTCACAAGGATTGGTCCAAGAAGAAGAGCACTAGAAGGAAGTACCATCCTCATTATAAATAAAAGAATTTTATTTACTATAGTTTTATAATATATTTCTATAATATTATGTATTATGTATCATAAAAAATATAGTTTTCAATGTTTACCAGACAATAAAGTTGAAATACATAAGTACAGATGTATACATACATACCTACATATTGTATAGGTAAACGACATTGTAGTTACTGACATAAAATATAAAATAATGCAGTTTGATACTAATTCGAATTATTTATTTTACTTTTCTTTTTTTCTTGTGTTTTTTTAACATTATAATATGTTATTTTTTCAAAATGCGTCCTTATTTGTTGATGTTGTCCAATATATTATAAATATTTTAAATTTATATGTTTTGATAATAACTCTGGTTGTGCAAATATAATCGAAATTATACACTTACTTTTTGAGTTTTTAACCATACCACACATTTCGAAAAGAAAGGTAAAATTTAACAATTATTTTAATTTATAACACAATAAACCAAGTTATTCCCTATCGCACTACGTGTAAGTCTTGTTTTTCACATCTTTTCTCTAGAAATTTTAACAGCTGTTATTAAGAAACTATTAATCAGATATGAATGTATTATACATTACAAATTTTAGAATAATATATTTTACAAAATGGATAATTTGAAAATTTTTTTTGAAATTAATAAATAAAGATTTTTTTTTAGGAATTAGAGATGAAAATAAAATTTTAATTTTTCTCTAAATAGATATCCCACTCATAAAAGAAGATTGAACAATTTTTGTTTAAAATTTGATATTAACAGATCTATAAAAATCCGTTAATGACGGTGGGATACTCTGTATATTAAAACGCGTTTTGTGCAACTAATTATTCTAAACTTTTCAACGTTTCATAATTGTTCATAATCCTTAAATTTGTTTTTTGTTCAAATTCAAAGTTTTTTTTTAATGTCAACAAAAATATACATACATATTATTCATTTTACAGCAAATATTTTATTCGAAACAATTTAATTTTAAATAACATAATATAATAAATAACAAAATATATCAACACAATAATAATCAAAATATTATTTAACACTTAAAATAATGGTAATTATTTATTACTATAAAGAGGATGTACGTAATCGAACAAATCGTAAAGATATGTAAATACAATATGAATATTTATATTATAGACACATGTTGATAACAATTATACGAGTATAATAATAATATTATTACCATCGGTTAAATAATATAGTTAATACCCCCATCATGCCACCAGTATTTAAGTTTAATATTTCGACTCGTATTTTAATACGAGTAAAGATATAATAAAATTAGATATTGAAACCACCCTCAACGAATTATTATTAGTAATATTCATATTAATATTTATTTTTAATCTAACCCTAGTTCTTCGTCAACCATTGCTTCTTCCGAAGACTTGAGTACCATATATTTCGGTAACCAAGTTTGTAACATTGTATCATACATCGGTATGGTTTCCTCGCTATATGCTCCTTCTGGGCCGAAAGGATCTACATCGGGCATATCATGTCTCGATACCTGTTTGGTACTCGGATCTTCGACCTCGTCATAATCTTCCGCGCTTTGTGCCTCCGACTGGTCGTCTACTTCCTCTACGGACTCTTCGGGTACTTCGGTTACAGGTTTCTTCTGTAGTCTATAATTTCGCCGATTTCTGTGCGGTAAGTTGTAAGAGTACTGTGCCGAAGGTTCGTATTTAGAACCACCGAACAATGGAGCGTACACGTGTGACAAAGACGTCGAAGCTGGCTGCTGTTGTTTAACATTCGGATTAGATTTATCCAAGTCAGATGTAGATTTCGATGATTCTGCAGGGGTAATATTAAAATTTTTCTTTTCATGGTAAGTCTGTTTCCGTTCTTTTGGCTGAGTATCGGTTATATACATACATTCCTCAGTTTCCACTTCTTTATCATCCTTGCACTTGTAACAAGTCATTTTATCTTTAATCGATTTTTTACAATTCGATCGGTCTTTATTACGGAATTCACCCAACATTTTGTTCACTGGACTCTCTTCAGCCGAATCGAAATTTATCGATAAATCGTCATCTCCGAGTAACGAAGATTTTCTTTTCTTAAAGCCGATTTGCCCGTTATCCAGGAACCCGAAGTCCCCGTCTTTGGACGAAAACTTAGTAGCTAACGAGTTCTTTCTGTTAGTTCCAAGTTCCGGGAACAGTTTTTTGAAATAGTCATCGTACGTTCGATCGCTATCTAATTGTCTTTTATATCGAGGCTTACCGTATACGTCACGTGTGGAAAATTCATACGCATTTTTCGAAGGATCGTTTTCGTATTCACATTGTTCGTACTGCCTATTACTCAAACTGTCTTGGCATACATTACACACATTTCCTTTTTTCATAACTTTATGACAAGTAGAAGATTCTAACGGTAACGGGGGTATTATATATTCTTCGCTAAGATTTTCAGATGTTTCTAAATTTTCTGGATCCTCGTTATCATACTCGACAGTACTTTCCGGTTTTTGGACATACTCTAGATCCTCTTCAGATGCCTGTGGGTTAGAATTGTCATATTCGTAGTCCTCTATTTCTTCACCACTTTGTGGTTTATTTCGCCTTCTGTCCACAATTCGTCTTTTATATCTATTGGTTCTTGGCCTATTCGATTTTAGTTTTGGTATTACTTCCGAATCTTTCAAATTTTCATTACTTGTAGGATCGGAATTATACGAACATTTTTCGAATGTACCACCTGAAGATAAATCTTTACATCTCATACACGTCATTTTTCTTCCAATAATATCGTGATCCTCGATATCATTTGGTGACATCGATTTTTTAACTTTTTGACATACTTGTCTTTTTTTTGTAGCAGGAGACCGCCTTGATTGCAATGGTCTAGGATCGTCTTCTTCTATTTCTTCATCCAAAAAATCTTCCGATTTCTTACTGCCCATATGATACGGTGACCGCCCATTTTTCCCGTTTATCCTTAATGGTCGTTTTTTATTTTCATGTAATCTGAGCGGTTTATTATCGTCATCATATATCCGTAAAGGTCGTTTATTTTGAACTGGCCTGTGCGAGTAACGTTCTTCGGCAAATCGCTGTGGTTGCTGTTGTCTATATGGTGAATTATGTTGATAAGGTGTCTGGAAGCTATCAGAAGTCAGTGGTACATGATTGGTGCCATAACCACGTACTTTCTTCGGTAAAGGTCTTTTAAACTGATTTTCTGATACATCATCTGAACTAGGTCTACTTTGAACCGGTCTCCAACCGTTGCGGGCTTCAAAATTAACATCGTAATCAAGCTCAAAAGGTTCATTTTGTATAAATCGTGCGTCATCGCCATCATCGTCAGCACCGTCAGCTTCGCTATTGCCCCCGCCACCTCCACTACTTCCTCGATTACCACCGCTTCCTCCTCGATTGCCACCACCGCCTCCTCGATTGCCACCACCGCCTCCTCGATTGCCACCTCCTCGATTGCCACCACCGCCTCCTCGATTGCCACCACCACCGCCTCCCCCCCCACCATTTCCACCACCTCCTCCACCATTTCCACCACCACCACCACCACCACCGCCACCATCGCCATCATCACCACCGTCATCGCCACCACCATCTCCTCCATCATCTTGATGTTCCGGAGTATTATATGGTAGATTATAATGTGTAGATGGGTCGAATACATAACTTGTCGGTCTTAATGGCTCATAGTTAAGCAAAAATTTGGGTTGTACTGAAGGTTGCGTTGGAGGAAAGTTCATTTGATCATAAGCATTTTGATCAAAATTAAAGTTTAAACCAGATATTTGTCTGTTAATGTCTTCATCCAGTTGAAAGAAATCATGATTTGGTTGTTGTTCAGTTGGGCCCACAGCGGATAAATACGATTTGAAATTACCATTCTCAGCTCCTTTTGTATCGATAGACGATCGAAGTTTTTCAAATGTATTTTGTAAGTTGATTTCAGGTGTGTATCCGACAGTATTCGTATTTGTTGACTTAGCTGTTGTAATAGTGTTTAATATTAAGCATATTCCAATAATGGCCGCCGAAAATACCTAAAAAAGTAAACATGTATTAGTGAGTAAATTTCTTAAAATTGTATAGGTATCTGAAATAAATTAGAATTATAGTAATATATGATTGATAAATCAGAGTCTACGTTTCTTATTTAATGTTGTACTATTATTCGGTATTTAATCAACCATATAAAAACATTAAAAGAGGTCAATGAAATATACACGCTTCATCAATTCTATCGTAATAGAACGTAAGATTTTTTTTATTTTTTTTTTTTTTTGCAATTGTGTAATGTACCTACATAATATAACGTGTAAAATAAAAACCAACCATTCATCGGAACGTTTAAAAATAATTTATACACACATTTTAAAGGCATTAAAAACTAAGATCTATAAGAATTATTATGTATGGATACTTCAAACGCAAGGTCGTATATGAGAAAAAAATTAATGTTTCCATAAAACAGTGTATCACATCAAACACGTATTATTATACTATGTGATTCATGTATAGTGCAGTAAATCTATTTTGCGGGTACAACTCTTGGTGGCTGCATTAGATAACAATTTAAAATGGACCCAGAAATTGTTCAATACCTATATTAAATTTCCACTAATTTATTTTCATTAATTACAATATTCACGTGCCTCGAATATGACGCAAAATGTTTTGAGAAAATATTAATAAAACCTGCAGGTAGGTAATAACAATGATAAAATATCCAGAACGTTATAATATTGTTAACAGAAAAACAATAGGTGGGTAGCAAACAATAATTAGCAAATTCAACAAAACCACTGATTTTCGCGAATGTGCGTCTCATATAATCGTAATATTATATAGATTATAAAAATAAATAAACACAAAAATACATTAGCAAGTAATATAATATTTATATGTAATATAATATTTTTTCTATTATTACCTGAGATGTGGCGATGTGTACGGCGTTCATGGCGCTCAGGGGACACACTGCTCGGCAATGCGTATACTGGAGGCATGCAGGTTTAGGTGCGCGTACACTCGGTCCGCAGGAATCACATTGACACCTATCGCGATCAACGAACGACGTTTAGGGTGATTTGCGGATCACGCTGAAGCGCCTCCCACTCGGCGCTTATGTGTTTAATTCACATTTCGTTCGTTGTTTCACGTCTAACAGACCGCGTCTAATCGATACCTATACCGTGAAAATTGTACCGTTCATTTTTTTATCGCCTGCAAACGATATAGGTGTATAATATAAATGAAATTAACGAAAAAACGAAAAACGTAATAATAATAATAAAAAAAATAATAGTGAAAAAGAAACAAATACAAATAAAATGCAGTCAACAGCGCCGCAGTGCAAATACACCTACTATATTTTATTATTGTAACTATATATCTATAGTTCGCTACAGTAGTTACATGATAGAAAATTTTCGCAAAGGAAGTGTTTGTAGTAAATTTGTGACGCACTATACAATTGAATTATATACAAGTATAACTATACATTTAATTGTTGCTTCAATATGTTTCGTCTGGATTAGGTCAGGTTAAATTATAATTGTCTCGGGTGTCGGCGTAATTAATATAATTAGGCAGGTAAACTATTGCATATGACTCAATCGATTGTAAAATACTATGATAGAATGAAATTCAAATATAATACGACATTTTCGAATTCTTTTATTGCACTTTGTATAATATGAAGAAAAAACGATAACACGGTTACAGTGGCTGATCCAGTCCTTAATTTTTTTTTTTTTTTGGTGAGGGACAAAACCATTTATAAAAATGAAGTTTGGTACATATTTTACCACAAAACCAGAAAAAACATACTACCTATATAATATTACAGTAATTGGGAAAGTAGTTAATTATCCTATAGTCTCTCCCTGGATCCGCCAATCATGGTTACGTATCTATTTTAAAAAAACCTATTTAAGAAGACATTTTAACTAAAATCTACATTTAGGTGTATACAAATAATCTTATTACTTAATGTAACTTTTGTACCTATAGTTGTATATATATGTATACCTATGTTATAAGAAGTACGTTGAGAAATCTTAAAATTAATTAAGTTAAAAAGGAACGGTGAATCCAATTTATCAGATAATAACCCATTTAAGTATTTAAGTCCAATTGAATGTCTATGTCTCACAAGAATTTCAATGTTAAGTGCGTTAGAAACATCCAGTGACCGCCTAAAAAGAGATATACGATAATTGATTTTATTTGATATAAAAATTCACCAGAAATCCCATCAAGGTCTACTGACCAATTACCTTTTATCAAGGATACTCCTTAGAAGAAATCACGCAATGAAAAATATGCATAATAATTTAAAGTTAAGATTATCAAAGAGCTTATTATGAAAATGTACATTATTCGTTGAATTTACTGAGAATCAGTAATATTAGTAAATATCCATTTTATTATGAATTTCAAAATATAACCATTAAATATATTTTGTACCCAGGTATTTTCTTTAATGGTTACGAAACAATAATTATAAGTTATATTATTATGAATAATACCCATTTAAATTTGAAACAAAACAAAAGAACAGATAGGTTTGTATTAAATATATCAACGTTCTTGATATTTAAATATTAGTTTGTCATTAATTATTGATTGTACTTCGTATTTTATTTTTATTTTTTACAAATCACATTTTCATAGATTGTAATTTTCATCATATAGTTCACATATCGATTAAAATAGTCTAATAAATTTCGATTTAAAAACTCATATAAAGTTTATTAAACAATATCATTAAAAAAAGGAAAACTATTATGAATGAATTTAAAAAATACATAGGCTGCATGAAAGTATATTTATATATAATTGTTGTCCATAGAATTTAAATTAACTATTGCTTAACATTTATTATGTATACTTTGGTTTTTTAAATTGTATAATGATTAAAATTATTTATAAAAAAATGGCTAGTAAATCATAATCAAAATTAATAAAAAGGAATGTCTGAAATCTGTTTATTGCAGAGGCGGTGATTAGGAGAGCCATAGAGACCATACCCACCCCCCTAGACATTTTATTTAACCGTAAACGTAAATCGTTTTTTCTAATTATGTATGGGCAATGGGCATGTATATATATTAAAAAATATTAATTCCCTCCCCCCCCATCTAGGGAAAGAACTAAATCTACCACATGGTTTGTTTGTTTGTGTGCTATCCACAACCGGATCTATTGCACGCAGAGATCTGAAAATTTACATACAGAAGCGGATGAACAGGTCCTTAATATGCACCTTGAAGTCGGATTTCTGAAATTCAGCCCCTAAAGAGTAGTTAACATAATTTTTTCGGTATTTTTGAAACGAAAATTAAAAGTTATTATTAGTTGATGAGGTTATCACAGGTAAAAAAATATCCTATCTTAAAAATAAATTACCTGGTAAAAACGGTTTATTGCATAGGCATCAGGCATCATCTACACGGGTGCCCGGGCGCTTAAGCACTTTTAAGAAAATATTCATGGGCAAAGTACCCACTCGATATTAGATGATGTAAAATATAGATATAATATAAATTTAATTCTATGTAGCTGCTTAGAATATAAACTGTTAGAGGCTTGTAATATTTATCGACTATCGTTAGCACTACAGTTGTAACCTGATTCTATGGTTGTAGAAACCACACAGTATATTGTAGGTGATAATAGTATCTTACGAATATTTTAACAATGAGTAGTTATACTTATGAAACGCTTTTTTTTAAGTTCATGACGCCTAAATCACTCTTTACATTTTTCAAAAGCTAACACCCACTGTGATAAGAATGGAGAATGGAAACGGGCAGTCACGGGGAAAACAATTTTATTTGTTTAGATTTTTTCGTTCAATATTTTGCACGGCTAGTTTATAATTATATACTAGCTGACCCACATAAATTATTGTCATTTTATATTTATACAATTACAGTTTCTACGATGTTTGTTCAAGAAAATGTAACATATTTTTTTTTATTGAACACAAGTATTTTCGGCAACGGTTATAAAAGAAAACAATTCCTACCTATTACATAATAATATGGAATCACACGCATTTTAATAATATGATTCATTTGGGCATAAGTGATTCCAATTATCTAGATAGTACCTATAGTAAACTTTATTTTATATTCGTGTTAAGTATTACTAAACTTATCAGTATATATTTTGTGTACCCAATGGTTTTTATTGGCGATTAATTATTATTCGGTTTTATCCGTCGGCAAGTTTTACACTTGATGAACTATGTTATTAATAAGTATGATAAATAACACATATCAATTATTACCTAATAAATAATATTTTCTTTCAAAATAATAATTATTTCTACAGAATATTATAGATTTGTAACATAATGTAGAAACAATATTATGTTTCAAAAACAAATCGCATTTTTTAAATGTGTTAAACAATATAATGAGTACGTGTATTATATATAATAGTATATAGTATTAGTATATATACTTAATTAAAATTATAAAATATGTAGGTAAAATTAAATGTGTACATGAACATATTTAATTATTTATAATGTACAAAAATTTAATAGCTATTTATAGGCAAACAATTTAATAAAATGTCATATTGTTAGTATTTTTAGACCTCAATAATCAATATTACAAAATTATAACTACAATTAACTTGAATGGTTGATCAATGGTATTTATATTAGTGGTATACACTACCAAAAAGTTGGAACATTATTATCGAAACAATGTTTTGTTTTGGTAGAAATGATAAAATCGGAAAATATAAAATATGTGAAAAATGTGATCTAGTGAACGTACAGAAAAAAAAAAATTTAATTGATGGTACGAAGTCTTAGTTTTGTAATTTTGTATAGTTTATATAAAAATAGAACTTTGTACTCCAAACTAAACATATTATAAAATCATAGACGTATGCGTGGAAAAAATAATGTGAACAATATTGGATTGGTAATACTTGTAAGAAATTATCAACTGAAACTGAAATCGGTTATTTCGAAAAGAACTTAAGTCATTCGACGTATTATTTCTAAATAAGAGTAAAAGTCAATTTCTTTAACTATTATAAAAAAAAAAACGGGCATACTTCATATGCCACAAAGGTAGAATATAGCCTACTGAGCAGTGGTTTTCAAACGTTTTTGACCACGGCACACTTCGCTTTTCCCAACATTTTCACGGCATTTTTTTTATTTTGTCATTGTTTAATTTTTTGCACAAAATTAGAATTAATAACAAAATGTATGAGTGATACTCAAACGAATTATAATCAAAAGAATTACGACTTCATACTTAACGAACGGATCACCGTAACCGGTGGTCCATCACAATTTAAGAAAAACAAATTTCCAATAACCACGGCACACCTAGTAAATGCTGGTAGCACACCAGTATACCGTGGCACCCAGTTTGAAAACCACTGATATAGAATATACGTATATGTACCATCCAGATACAATTTCCTTTCAGAAAAAGTGCTACGCTTCATTGCTTGAAAATTGAAGCAAAGTTTCTGGTAGAAATTTTGTCCACTATTGTAAAACCAATACAAATATATAATATATTTATATATGCACATTTTTTTTTCAAGACATATTTTTATATTTTATGTATACATATATATATATATATATATAAGAATACCATTGAATCTTATTTCACGAAAAAAAAAAGTTTACGAGCAGCAATTTAATGAATAAAGCAATATTTGTATGTATTTTATTTATTTTTTTTTTTTTATAGCTTAAACTATCGCTGAACGAAAAATGGTTTGAAGATAAATTATCAGAATGTAATAAAGAATAAATAAAGTACAAAAGTTAATAAACATAAAATCAATATTGACAAAGATATTAGCTGCGAAACGCAAATTACATAAAAACAAATGTTTCAAGTGTCATTTCAGTTTATTGATTTATCAACATTTTGTAATTTTTACGTTTTATACCAAATAACTTTGTTAACATTAATTTTCTTCTTATAAACTAATATAGAACCTTATTTGTTCCTTGTAACGTTTTGATGATTTACCTT